GGCCCGCCGTTGGCAGCGGAGGCGGTGGAGGAGAGTCTTTCTTCACAGCCCTAGAAGACTTCACCCACCCACCGATCACAACCCTTTCTCCGACCAATCCGGCGCCGCCGTCGCTCCGTTCGAGCAGAGTTTTAAGCTCGACCCGGTTCGAGTATTTGGACAACGGGACTGGATTCGCTGGGCCAACATCATGATGTTTCTGTTCGTCCCTGGTGTGAGGATCCATTTGAGTACTACTGAATTAGGGAGATAGGAAGGAAAAACAGAGGAGAAGATAGGAATCTGTGAAGGTTCCTTGAATTGCAGAGACAATAGCCATGGCGATCATATATATACACACACATATACATGTATGTATAATACGGATTAAAACAAAGAGATTAAGGAAGCTTAGATTGTTGTAAGAGGGGAAAGGATTGTTTTTTCTTGGGGAAGAAACAGAGTCAGAGAGAGAGAGAGAGAGAGGAGGAGGCAAGGTTTGGTATTCTTGAAGGTTGGGGATTCGCGGGAACGCCAACCTAACCAAAAATAAAATATTTATATATTTATAGAAGAAAAAGGAAGCCCAATTCGTACGGCCCAAATTTATGTTCTCGGCCCATGTAATTTTAATTATATTTTTACAATTATTTTGAGCCTTCCCAGTTTTGGATTTTCCGTACGGCCCGTTTTTCGTTCTTGCATTTTTTTAAAAAATTTATTAGCGGGCCCAATTCGATATATTTTGTTGCATTTTAAAAAAAAAATCCAGTGGACCACGGTTTTAATTTTTATTAGTTTGAATATTTGTCATTTTATGGAAAGATAAGTAGATAACAACTCATATATATCCGTGAAGACCAAAGCGTATGGTTCTAAGCAACAACTTTGAAAATAAATATTTCATAAAAAAAAAAACTTTGAAAATAAATAGAAACAAATTTGAATTAGCAGACAAAAAACTTGTATATCACCAACTCCTGAGAAATTTATGAAAAAACTTATCAAATTTCTTTCTGTTCAATGAAGATTCATTTTAAATGATTAAAAATAAAATGATAAATCAATATTCCAATTTTTGAGAAATCAAAAACCAAAAATACTAAAGAAATAAAGAAAACCAGAACAGTTTAAAAAACTAAAAAAGACTGGTAAAGGATATGGTGCAGACACCCAACTCTGTCCCCGAAATCGCTGGAACTGAACCCATTCCCACCTCCACATTCTACATTTTTAAAAATTCAAATTTTGCTTTGAAAAGTATAAGATTTAATCGAAAATATATTTAAAAACTATTCACATTTTATTAAAAATAATTAATTATATTTCAAAATTTTGAGTTTGTTTATATTAGTTTCCATTATATAATTATAGCGGAGACTAAGAGTTTGTATATAACTATTCTTGTAAATATGGTGTGTGTGTGTGTATCTGTATCTATAAATATGCATGTACTGTATGTATGCATGCGTGTAAAAGCACGAGACATGCACGTGACGCCTCTGGCGGGGTCGGACCGGGAGGCATCGACATGGGCAAGTTGCGGACAAAGACAAAGGAAGCCTTCTCAACTTCTGGTGGCTTCCGTAGTTCCGAAAACCGTGAAATTCCCTTTATGCCCCTCCGGAACACCGCTAGACTCGCGAAGTCTCGGGGGTAGTTTCGGCAATCCGGTAAAAACCGATCGAAAGTTCTAGGAATCATCAGAAGGAAAATCTCTGTGTCGAAAAAATGGGGGGACCCCTCTGCTGTTGGAGGGTCGTGCACAGTGTACTCTCTCCTCTCCATAATTGCAGTCTATCTCTTTAGATTCTTCTTATAATCTATTTTTAAAAATAAAAATAAAAAGGAAAAATCTAGATGGATTATATTTATAAATTTGTTGTGCAATATTGATAGACGTGAAAATATGTGCATATTGGTGGAGTTTGTATCGCATGTGGATTTCTTTGAGTCTGTTAGATGAAATTTATTTCTACATAATGTGTATATATATGTATATAATTAATATCTTTCAAGTTGGAGTGTATTATAGAACTTAAACGTCTCCATGGTGAGAGATGATAGAAAGTATACTCATTATTGGAATATATATTTGATATATGTAATGCCAATTTAGATATTCAACGATGATGCGATTTGAAAAATGTATCGAATTTATAGTTTCTGGATAACAATGAGTGGTTGAGATTGTAGCTGTGATGATACAAAATCATGGTACATATACGTACATATATACATGATTGTGTCGTAACGGTGGAGAAACCTATACAGAAAACAACAGATGAATGTGCTTTTAGGGTTTTCTATGTTTTCGTTATTGCCCTCTACTCATTTCTGTGTGTATATAGATAATATAGACATGGGTTCAAAAAGTATTTGATGGAATCCTTCCATAGCGTTCGATATAAATTGCTTTTATATATCGTTAGTTGCAAACGCAGACATTGAAAGAATCATATACATGATGATATCTGAGACACATATACACACACACACATATATATATATATATATATATATAATTGTATATACATATATATATATAGGTAGACTACTAGACCTTTATTCTCATTATTCTAAGAAAACAGAAGAAGAAAGCGTATGGTGTATCCATTAATATCTTTGTAATTGGTTGGTGAGGACTTGTAGTACAAAAGACTAGAAACTTTACGAGAGGGGCCAGAGAAATTTGTAGCGACATGGCTTACGGTCATATAACTTCAGCACATGACACAACTTCACATTCACAAGCTCTTAATACACAGAAACAAAGTACTCTCTTCCTCTATCTTTATCTCTATAGATTCTCCACGTTTAGAGTTTTTTCCCACGTTCAAAGCTCTCGCCCACAGAGAGAGAGAGAGAGAGAGAGAGAGAGAGAGAGAGAGAGATGGCCGCCATTAAAGTCTGCAACTTGCTCTTGCTGCTCTTCACTGTGATTCTTCTAGTTGAAGGTCTTCTCCTAAAAAAACTTGTCTTTTTCTTCTTTTCTTCATCACTAAGCTTTCATCAAATGTTCCATTCTTGAAAATACCTTCCCCCTTTTTCAGCATTGTTGTGATTATGCATCTATACTTCAAACTAAATCCACGCGTGCCTTTTTTGTATTTTGCAAAACGTCTTACTCTGTAGTCTGTATATAGATATGTGTGCGTATATATATATGTATGTGCGTGTGTGTGTGTGTATTATCTCGTATACATCGATCGTTTCAGGATCTGGAAATGAACCTCTAGCTCCGTCCGCACATAGCGTGGCGAGTTCTTCACCGCTGCAACGTCAGGTAACGAAACTGTTTGGGTATCGATTTCAATAAAACTTGGGAGAAGCATATATATATATATATATATAACTCTCATTAAAACGAGAATGAACTAATAATAAAGTAAGCAAATCATCAGGAGAGGATGATGAAGAGTGGATGGAGAAGGAAGATCATGATTGGATCGACGGCGCCTATATGCACATACAATGAATGTAGAGGCTGCAAATACAGATGCAGAGCCGAGCAAGTCCCCGTTGAAGGCAACGATCCCATCAACAGTCCTTACCGTTACAGATGTATTTGTCACAGATGAATACATGCATACATGCATGTATGTGGTCACCCCAGTTTTTTGGCTATATTTTCATGTTGGTATCAATATTATATTGTAGCTAGGGTTTTTGTTTTTTTTTTTCCTCTTCATTTTGTCTCCTTGTGTGGGCTTTTTGTTTCTTTGTTTTAGATTTTCAATGACTTTGCTCTTGTGGGTTTGCGCCGAACAGCCATCTTCTTGTTACTGCCGTTATCGGATCTGGTTGTCGAACCACGTCTTCGAAAATATTAGCACTAAAAAAAAACCGGGATGGAATTTGCGACGAATTTTTCGACAGAATACGACGGTTTTGCGATGAAATAGGTTTTTATCGTAAATTACTGACTGTTTTACGATAGAATTTTTCGTAGAAAAAACGAACAAATAATTTGCAATGGATAATTTTTTTTTATTTTTGTTTTTAAAATCAGAATTTTACAAATTTCACATATATATAATCAAATACACATGCACATACGAATGAATTTTTTTATAAAAATAAAAAAATTGTTGTCATGAAAAATTCTAATTTTATTTCAAATAATTTAACAACTGGTATAAAAGTGAATATATTTTTTTTCAAAACTTAAAATACAAATACCAAAAGAAATCGAAATGAAAACGATGATTGAAATTTATTTAGGGTTTGAAAATGATATAAAGCCCAAAGAAGGCCCATATATTATTCTTAATACATTTTATGGCCCAAATTATTCGACTTATATATACATATCGATTAAAAAAAATCTCCATATCTCATAGGTTACAAAATTTCCCGACTATTTATGATTTAAGTTAGATCATTCACGTCATGAAAACGCCAAACATTTAGTGCATTTATATTTATCATTTTTTCGGTACGCATCTTCATATTTTATACTTTTTATATTGAAGTAATCGATAGAAAAGGAATATTTATTTATTATCAGTTCGCATTTAAATGGAATATGTAGATGGAATCATATCTTTAATGATGGCTACCACAAGGCAGAAGCCTAAAGCTGAAGAAACCAGCATTAATTAACGACTAATTATCAAAAATTAATTTTATCATGCAACAACCAACTTTCGTAACAATTAACAAATAATTTTTTTCAAGCGATCCAGAAGTTTGCCAAAGAAAGCAACATATTTAAATAATGGCAAAGGGCATATCATTTATATAAAAAATGGCAGATATTATTTTATAACATCTAAAAATTATCAATTTATTTAATTGAAATTCTACTTTTTTATGCTAATAGTTGCAATATAAGATGGCTATAAATATCACGGGATCTTATAGAAAATCTCGTGACAGAACGAAATTTACAAGAGTCGTGCTCTTATGATATGGAATATAATTGAAATAAAAACATTAAATTATATAAACCATTTTTTTAAACAGAAATATCAATTTTAAAAACAATTTATCGATTAGAAAAATAAGAAAATGGTTGGAATAAATGATTTTATGACAATTAATATATTTTCTTAAAGTTCTTTTTGCCCTCTCTCTCTCCGTAGTCCATAGGTATTCATCATGCTCATAATCATTGCCTCTTCAATGATTAAAAACTTCTTTGATCCAAACCTTTACACATCATCATCATACACACACACACACACATATGTATATCACTCACTTTCCCATATATATATATATATATAGACACCACACTTGATCACTAATCAAGATATTGAAAAGAAACTCAAGGAAACAAAAAAAAAAAGATGGTTAGAAGAAATGCAGCACCGATTTCATATCTTCCGATGAGCTCGGAATTGCCGGCGAGACGGTGGCGGAGGAGGAGGGCGAAACGCACGGTGAGGTTGGGCAACCGGCGAAGGGGGTTTTGGGTGGGGCCACCGCGGACGGTGGTGCTCCGGTGGAGGATCAACATCGGAAAACCCATGAGGGTTCTCAGAAACCTCCTCCTGGGGATAATCTCCGCCAGAAACGTTCACTTGTCCGAGAATTATTGTTGGTCTTTGCCAATTCTACGTCCTCAGCTGTTCCCTTTTTGTTGATTTTTTTTTGTTTTTGTTATCTTAAATGTAATTACTAATTCCTAATGGTAAAAGTCCTTTCTTTTATATAACCACATCACGGCTGATTGTCAAAAATTCTGTCTTTATATTATGAATTTGATTGCAGTTCCTTAATCGTGTGGTTAGTCAGCTTGCAGGGCATAGTTTCCTAAGATTAATTAGCATGTCAATTGGAGAATAAAAACATCCTCGGTTCCGAACCTTTTTTTTCTCCCTCCGTTTCTTAATAGTTAACGTTATAGACAAAAAATTTTGCACGGGAAGACCTAAGATGTAGAAGATCGTAACATAAGTTATTCGGCAGACTATATATTCAAGAGAAGGTCACAGCGAGATAAACTTTTTTTTTTTAATAATATGTGATTGTCAGGATTCGAACTCCGGGTATGGGCAACACTTTGTGCTTCCACAACCACCAGACCACTAACTTCTGGTCGAGATAAACTGTTTCCCTCTCGACGATGAAGCTTATCCCCATCGTCTCTCTGGCCGGCCTTGATCCCTGTTATTTTGAATTGTTGTTATACACTTGTTCCAACCGTAGGGTGGATCTTGGAAAGATACGAAATATCTCTCTCCAAATCTTTTATAGACAATTTTTAAAAAATAATTTTTTAATTTGTCTTTAATTAAAACTAATGAATTATAGTAAATTTAATAAATATTAATTATATTTAATCTTTAAATAAGAATATATATGATTTTTTTACGGTTTATTAAAAAATGTGAAAAAAAAGTTAAAATGGAGGGTGTAGATCACTATAAAAAGTTATGGCATATTTAGTGACAAGTGATCATGATTTATTCCACTATTTACAACATTAGTTATTTTCTTCAGTTATTTTCTTTAACTGTAATTATTAATTATTCTAAAAGTCTTCGTGGGCTTCATGTGCAATTCAGACCGCTTGAGAATCCAACTCAAGGCCCAAGTCTCGTAATCCGACCACAAGTACATGACTTCCAATCTTCTTGGCTTTCATTCTCTCTATTTATAAATAGACATACACAATATTATATGAGAAAATGTGATAGGTTGAGAACCCTCTGATTCAGGTCGACGGGTCTCTTATAAAATATTGGAAGCAAAATTACAAAAACTCTAACCAAACCAGATTAATTAGTCTTAGAGTTATATCACCGGGCGTATGTTATAATACAAAATTCATGAACACATATATTTAACATCAAGCAACATCATATAATTAACCAACCAAAACGAAACATAACTAAAACGAGACAAATGATTAAAGGGTATAACATATAAAGAAGGTTTTAATTTCATATGAACATGTTTGCCATGATCAAAAGTTTTTTTTTTTTAAAAAAAAACAAGCGACTGATAAATAAAACATGATGATGATCATATATGTACACACGTATATAAGTATCCTAAGATGCGGAAAAAAAAAGCAAAATAAAAATTAAAGTATATAAAATAGTATATAAAATAGGATATCCATGTCTTTACACAAAAAAAAAAGGGATATCCATGTGATTTAAAGGTCTTGCTTTTTTCTTTCTTTTACTTTAAAAACATACATTACAACAAAAACTAAAGAAGATTTCTTAAATCATTCTTTTTTAAGTGCTATTTTTCATGCTTTAAAAAATCTACACTAATTTTCAAGCGTGGGTCGTTCTTTATAAAACATTTGATTGCCATAATTTCCACCACCCTTTCTTTATTTGTACGTGCATGGCCCTACCTTTAATCTTTTCTTCTTCCCCCTTAATTTTTTTTCCACTAGATAAAATGAAAGTAAAGCAAATGCAAAACACAACACACGCGTATATCTATTTTAATTTAAATTATTTCGTTAATTATTGTATCAACTAGAAATCATATACCATCCATATATAATTCCCTTGGGTTCACACACACGCAGAATGTGTATGGTGACTGGTCCACTTTTTTTTTTTTTTTTCTATAACAGTGGGAGTTTGAAACTTAAATTAACTTAAAAAATAAAATAAAACTGTATATTTAGTTTTCATGAAGGAAAATCAGAACATAAAAATAATAATAAGTTTCGAATGAATTATCTAAAGTGCTGTAATAAAACGATCTAACAACGTGAAAGAAACGTTGTACCGTCTGCATACGTGTTAGCGAGGAGATTGTGTTGGAGGAAAGGCCCCACATGCACGTGTGTGTTATTAAGACGATCCACTTGATTAGACGAAACAAATGCTAAATAATCTTTTATACGCGAGCCGATAATTAAATACTTTTTTCACAATATACAATTAGTGATGGGTATTTTGCATTAGGAATTAATACAGGAACAAAACCACCAAGTACCATGTTAGAATCGTTATATTTCGGCTCAATATCTAAATTATTTGAACCCTTATTCTTGTCGTGAACTCGTAATTTTTGAAATGTCAATTTCGTTTTACTCAACATGCGAATATCCAATATCCATCCATTCGTCCAACGTTATTGCCATATGAAATCGATAAACATATATGTTTTTAATGATTGTGAAAGGAAAACAATTAAATTAAGAAGAAGAAAAACAAAAAGCCTCAATAAAAAAGTTTCATTTTTCTTGAATATCATAGGCTCCCTTTCCCCGAGGGTTACACGATTTTCCCTTCAATCCACCACCCTTTTTCTCCGTTTCTTTTTCTCTTCTCTTTCTCGCATAGATACATATACATTCACATACAATTATATATATATATATATATAGCGCATACTTTATGTAAAGATCTCTCTCTTTCTCTCTCGTACAACAGCAGCAGCTTCATGAAACTCGAGTTGGCAAGAAACATCTTGAGAAGCATCCAAACCCACCATTCCCCTGCTAATGAAAGTTTTAAAAAACAAATACATAGCTCATATTAGCATTTTATAACTACAATAACATTACAAAATAAGATTATATCTCCCACTTCTATAAAAAAAAACTACTATAGTAGATATTTAATTATTTACCCTTTTGGATTTAGCTTTTACGAGCTCGGGAGATATTGTATACAAGTCCTCGTCCACAGGCTTCGGCGCCGGTCTCCTCGACGACGGAGTAGGGCAGGTGGCCGGCGCGTCGTACTCACGCGCCGCCTTCAAGCTGCAGTCTTCTTTATTCGTAGCTCTTTTCGCTCGTGGAGGCTCCTGACCCACTTTTGCCTGCCCACATTTTCACTTTATTATCTTTAAGAAAAAAACCCGCTTTACAATTATCTTCAATAATCGCTCTGTTTAACAGCTGAAACTGTTTATTTCGTAATTGCGGTTCATCCCAAGCTATTGGTAACAACATTACGTGTAAGGGCTGAAATACATATGTATATAATATATATACCCGATGTCGAGGGACGACGATCATGGCGGGGGCAAAGAGGTGGTCGCCGTAGAGATCGCCGGCGACGTAGAGATCACGGTCTTGACGCGCAGTTTCGAAGCACTGTGTGAACGGAACGGCGTCGTTCCAGTCCCAGCTCCCGAAAGCCGGCACGTGTCCTCTCCTGCAGTACTCTCCATACTCCTGAAAACCCAACAAAAAAAAAACACACACACACACACACAACAGATGGATTAAGCATGCACGAAACGAAGAAGCAGAAGCAGAAGCAGAAGGAGGAGGAGAAGAGGGTTACGTACGTAGTCCATGGCGATGGTTGTTTCTGATTGGATCAGAGGGTTCTCCGAGAAGGGTTTTCTTTCTCGTTGGCTCTTTGACAAATACTTTTGAGAGTGATAACTGAGAAGACAAAGGAGCTGAGTCAGTATCTCTCTTTAAAGGTCGTCGAGAGAGAGAGAGAGAGAGAGAGAGGATTCAAAGGAGCAGAGTGGGGTAAGCCTCTGGTCTTGCTTTTCTTTTCTCCAGGGGATGCTTTATCAATATTCGACCCTTTTCCTTTTTCAGTTTTTCAGGTTTTTTTTTTAAAATTTAAATCAACTTATTTTCATCCTCCTCGTATTGGTTTCCATCAATGTAGCACCTTAGAGGACCCGAGTAAACGATCCATTTTTTACTTGAATTTAAAATCACGACCATTCGTACGTAATTATATGTTACCGAATGAGCTCAAAAGAAACTGCCACGTGGAATTTCCATTGTTATGGGTCATTTAAGTTCGGTTATAAAAATACTACATAGTTTCAATCTTTTCAAATCCTCAGCTTTGAAAATGGGATAACGCAGAGTTAGGGGGTAGGGAAGAGGGCCCACATGCATCGCGATCGAACTTTGTGCAGCACACTTTGCCACATTACAAAGCAAACCCATTTATTACTATTATCTTCTTTTTTGTAGCATTTACTCCCTTTTTTTCCATTCCTAAAAAAATATATTTTTTTATTTAATTCACTTTTTTTTTCCGCAGAGAAAGAGGGAGGGTGGGGGTTGGGTCAAAACCAGTGAGACAGTTCATAGCGGCATCATTGATTGTAACTCTGCTCAAAATCCAAAAAAAATATATTAAAAATTATATATATTATAGAAAATCGTGCAAATTATATAGTATTTGATAGGATAGAAATAAATGTTTGCTATATGGAATATTATTAATGATTATAGTCTTTTGAATAATTAAATTTATATATTTTATCCGGGTAAAACAATTTTCTAAATACTCATGTGGTTGTTTCTGTGATATCCATATTTTTACTCTAAACAGAGCGTGTGTAGAGATAGGGACATATGTCTGATGGTAGAATTCTATATATATATATGTATTGTTGCTTTGGGCTTTGAGTCACTTCCTTCATCTTGATTATTTTTTTACTATTTACTTTTTCTTTTTTTATGTTTCTATCATTAATCCATTTGGGTTTTGTATTCTTTTAAAGTCTAAATATTATATTATTTTTTCATACAGAAAAAGTTAAATTTTAGATTTGAGACCACGCAAAAAAAAACTATATCCAGAATATGGCAAAAACATTGAACACAATTTTTTTGTTGTTAAATTTAAAATTAATTTCAATTGAATATAATAATGGATAAATATTTCTTAAAAAAATCTATGTGAAAAAACAATGGAACTGAAATAGAATGAAAAACACAAGCCAACGAGGTAAACAGAACAAAGTTTCATTGTTTAAAGATACTGTGAAGTTTGCATCAATTTTATATCGTTTTGTGAAAAAAATAGTTTTGTTTTAAAATTAGCCGTAGAAATATCGATACACCAAAATCTAAGAACAACTATAAATCTACCAAATAGGGTTACACTTAGTGGGAACCTAAGCAGTTAATTACTAATTTATACGAAATTATGATTAATGATAATTATTTGTTAGTAATAGTACAAACAGATAATCTCTTATAATGTGATTAATTTTATCACATCCCAACGGAGGTTATACATATTCCTTTTTTTTTTGTATATTTTTAAATTTATTTGTACAACTTTAAGCGATCAAATGTTTTTTTTTGGAAAAAAAATTTAATAAACAAAGACTATTCACGGAAGAATCATTTAGAGGCGGATGTGCCATAAGCCATAAGGTATCTATTTTTTTTTGTATATTCTTTTAAATTTGCATTATCAAAACATACATTTTTTTTAGTTCTTGTAGTATATATATAAAGTTTCATAACTAAAATACTTTAAAACGAGTTTTAAAAAACGTTAAATTTGCATAAAAAAAAGTCAAATAAACGTAGAATCTTTAATATCATGTCAATGGAAAAAAATTAGTGGATGAATTTAAATTTAAAAATAAGAATAATGACAAACGAAAATGAACGTTCAGAATCTACAGATTCTGGAATCTCAAAACTCGAGCCGAAAAGGCTATATATATAGTATGGACCAAAGCTATATATAACTCCCTTCATCTTCGTAGGTCGTTAAATAACCTTTGCCCATTTATTTTATTTGACTTTTTTTTCTGTAATAATAATAATAATAATAATAATTATTATTATCATTGTCGACGTGGATAAAATCGGGTTACACGTGTCATCGACTTGACACGTTTTTTCTAATTCTGTCAGCAAAATTAAACTCCTGTTAAATGACGCTTGACTTTTAATTTAGCAAAATTTATCAAATTAAAATATTTATTTGTCTAATTGAAAATCGGAGTATTATTTTGATACATTGACTATTTTCTTTGGCTTATATATATATATATAGAAACCAAAGAAAATAAATCAATGTATAAAAATAATATTTTAGTTATCAAAATAATATATATATATATAAAACTCAATGGTCTGATTCTCCGTAACCATTTTTACTGTCATCGACAGACAGCAACGTAAAATACAATTTGATACACCATTATGCTAATCTTTATCCTATATAAGCATGTTTTAGTTCCTACTTTTTTTATTGAATATAAAAAGAGACGATATCATTCGCTACCCATTTACTTGAGCATTAAAAAACGAATTAAAACAAATAATAATATATACAACATATAAATTAAATGTTTTATTAGATATATATATATATATATTGTGAAATTCGAATCAAAACTTCTCATATGTAAATATACATATAAAAATAGATATATATATATATATATATATATGTATATAGCGGATATGGGCCTGAAAACTGGGCCGATAGTAAAAGCAGGAAGAGCTTAAATGATAAACGGAAGTCCAATATTTGAGAAAGCAGAGCCCAATTGCCTTGGACCCTTCTTAATCAATTTGGAAAATAACTTTCAAAATTAAATATATAGAGAATTTAGCTGTATATGTAATGTAGCATTTCTATCAACTAGTACGGATCTACCATTTCCTTTGATAAATTTAGTTAGCAAATAATATATATATGTATATATATATGACCATGAAGCTCAAATTACTATAAAACGCAAACGTTCTTTTCGAACAAACAATTACCTACAAAAATTTCGAGAAATCTCACCGATACGACAAAACTATAGACACTCGACACGCGCCATCCCCCTACTGGCCATTACATGACATGCAAACGTGATTTACCGTTGAATCACCAACCCACTATTGATCGTTATCCTTTAAAAAACCCTCGAATAATTCGTAGGAAGTTAATTTTTAAAAGACGATATTACCCCTCGTTTCACCGAACCACGCAACAAGACAGGCCCAGAATAAAAAAATATACGAAAAGAGTAAACGCATACATACCCGTGCGAAAGTTGTTACGCCAAAATAGACCCATATTACTGAAAATTAGCCTAACATACTCTGCCACCAGATATATATACATACTGGTACCGAAATCAAGCGTAGAAGTTTGTGATAGTTTTTTTACCGGAACCGACGATGATGATCAGATCGGACGGTGGTTAATTGTCCTCGACGGTTTCGGCTTTCTTGGTCGCCGAGCTGATGATCCAGATGAACCCGTACGGGTCCTTCAAATTTGCTTGGACGCCACCGCCGCAGCACGCGCCAGCTTCTCCATTCGCGGACTCTCCGTCCTTCACAGCTCCAGCGGCCACAGCTTTTACAATGGTGGCTTCCACGTCTTCAGTCTCGAGCCAAATCGCTATAGAAACTCCCTCGGTCTTCCCGCTGGTCAACGCCAAGGAGAAGTCAATACTCAGCCCACACCACTTACAAAAGCAACGAAATAATCATGGCGTGTTATTGAAGCAAGTTAACCATCCCTCGCATGTATTTCAAACTTCCAGAAAACTCGTAACAAAGATAAAGCGTAGTTCTATGCTAAGAATCAAATCAGTTCAACCACAAAAGCGAAGAACACCAAGGAGATCTACTCGAAAAAACACAATAACACATACTACAAACAGAACAGTTTAAGACAGAGAGCGTAAGCACTTACACAGCAGTAGAATCACCAGAGGCATCGGAGACGAAGAAGGTAAAGCCAGAGAGCTGAAGCTCAGCCGAGATGATCTGAGTGAACTCCTGGTCAGCCTTGCGCTTAGGGTTCAGAGAACGCCTGATCTCCACAGCACCGAATGCAGACTTGTAGAACTGAACAGCATCGGCTGCTTTGGGAGCCTCAACCGTCAGCAGCGGCTTGAACGCCGTGAACGTCACTGTCTTCTCAGCTGAAGCACCGTTGGCAACCTCCTCTTGCGCCATTGCAGAGACGAACGAAGAAAACGACAGAGCCGGGGAACGAGCTCAAACCCTAGGAGAGAGAAAAACTGAACGAGGTGAGAGAAAAGTACATGAAAATGCAAACGGTGGGTGGAAGGGTCTTTGTGTACATTTATAGAAGCGGAACCGTTTGCAACCTGGCGAGGCTTGAAGCGGGTATAACAGCTTTCGCGTCCGGAAATCACCCCTGCTTTTTGACTTATTTACGAGCCTATGCCCTTGTTGTAGTTTTAGTCCCAGATATCAGCACAAAAAAATTAAAATAATGGACCAACAAAACTGAATTAATGAAGCAGTCTTACAGAAGCATCATAAAGAAATTTAAATTTAAAATAACATTAACGGAAACGACGCCGTCTGTGGGGATCGAACCCACGACCACATGGTTAAAAGCCATGCGCTCTACCGCTGAGCTAAGACGGCTATCAATTACGTTCCATATGATATCTACAAATCAATAATATAGATTTGACACACGATTTCTTCTTTGGATACAACTTCCTAGTGTTGCAAATTTTTGTTGTTTTGTTTCGTCGGTAAAATTCTACAAAATTTAATAATGCCCCCACCAACATATATATAAGCAGAAAGGGGAGCCAAACTCTTCAAGCAAATGCACGCTTAGTGACAAAAAATAGAGAGAGAATGCATAATCAGAGCATCACTCCTCAGTACAGAAGGGGGAAACATAGGAACGTGTATGTAAATACACGTATATATATATATATACACCATGCTTACATGCCAAACAACAACATACAGAACAACAAAACTTTCATCCATTCAACTGTAATCGCTTCGAGGAAATCTGGGCATACCTTTTTGTCATCTTCTCAAACAAATCCAACTCTCTTCTGTCGTAAATTGACTGAAAGATTCTTGGTTCTGCTCCCCATGCCCTCCAAAACGCAGTAAGAAAAAAACGCTGAACCCGATAATATCTGAATCTTGTTCATGCCAAGATTTGATATGATAATGCCAGAGATGATGAAGAGGAATCGGTGATCATATTTTTTCAGATGCAGATATCTATAATAACCTTTCCTCAAACACGGGCTTAGCAAAGCTTCTCCCACGGGATTCTTGATCTAGTTGATAAAGTGGCAACACAGAAGATTGAATCTGCATATGAGAAAAAAATGAATCGTGAAGATTAGATTCAACCAAATCAAACTTGGAAAAAGTTATGCCCAGATTAGACATAAGGATTCCCGATATAGAAGTAAGTGAGATGAAATAAAGCTATGAACTTTTAGCAAAAGGATCATCCCATCTAGGTTTGAAGCTGAGATCACTACCCATTTTGCCACTTATGAGACTAGATTTGAATTTCAAAATTCAAATTCGCATAAATTTCTATACCTTGTTCTCACCCCAGATCTCATCCTCACCCCGAACCGCGACGCAATCCCTCGGGGTCTCGAACATAGACATCGAGTACTGCTTGCGAACAACACCGACGTCGAAGTAAATTACGCCGGAACTCGGCACGTCGACGCGGATCCCTTTCACCGGGAACCACAGGAAGAGCTCTTGCGCCGAGATCCCCGACAAGCCCGAGATCCACCCAAACCCTAACGTTCCCGTCACGTTAGCCTCGTAATGCAGCTCGCTCTCGTACTTGGCATTACATGCCTGGTTCAGATACACCGAGAATTCCCCTGTTTTGCCGTCGACGCTGAATTCCTTCACACCGTTCGGTAAAAGACCCATCGGCAACTCATTCGCCCGAAGGATCTCGTATATCGACTCGTCCCCGGAGATCACGGCCGAGATCGAGATTGCTGCGGCGATAACGAGCTGAAGAACAACGCCTCGAGCAAGACGAAGCATCGCTTTTTGCCGGCGTTTTCCTGGAAAACCCGGAAATCGTTCTCCTCAAATCATGGAACGCTGGCCGCAGATAGGATGATTTCTCACGATTAGGAGATCGAGGTCAGGGTTTAAGCGAAGAAGAAGAGAGTGGTGACAGCTTGAAACCAGCGTGGATCAAATGATTGAGAGCGATATTCCGACGGAGGGGTTATCCTATGCTTCTCTATTTGTCATCCTTCGGGTACTCCAACCAACTGTAAAGAGCCACGTGCACGAGTGGTAGGACCGAAATTTCATTCAAGTACAAGGGTATATTTTAAAGGGTATGGTGATCCGCGCCTGCAGCGTCGGACCCGGCGAGAGGGCAGGCGCGTGATTACGCTTTCTGCGGGATTGTTCCAATAAAGTCCTTTTTCCGAAAATAACAAAAAGCGTCCCGGAGAAGATATTATTATTAAAAAAAACCTTCATCTCTTATTTTTTTAAAACTTGTGTGTAAACAATTTGCAGGGGAGTGTAAATTAAAAGCGTTTCTTGATACAAATAAGTGGAGCTGACTATTTCATTTAGTCTTGGAACTGAACATGTTCTAAAATATGTTAGTGTACGAGGGAAACAAATATGACACAATTCCTAAAAATTCTATCAAAAACTTAATTATATTTTTAAAAAACAGTTTTATTTTTTTTCAATTTCACTATTTTTTAAAATTAACAATTTTAGATCTTATAAAAAATTAACGTTGATACAACATGTCAAGATGGCCGAGTTGGTCTAAGGCGCCAGTTTCAGGTACTGGTCCGAAAGGGCATGGGTTCGAATCCCATTCTTGACATTATTTATTTCTTTTTTTTGAAAATTCCAATTATACCCCTCCGGCGGATCAGCCGCTCCGCCACCGTGCCTCGCCGTCGGGAGCCAAATTCACCAACCCGTTGACCACAGCCTCGCTCCCCTCTCCCATGGCCGCATTCTCCACACAACTGGTGTCCCTGACTCCCTGTAATTCCCACAAAATGAGAAAAGCTATGGTTAGAATCCAACCTGTGCAACATCATCGTTGTGTTGATTGCCAATACATCCTCTTTGGTGTTGTACAGTGAGGAGGTGCAAACAAGAATCATACACGAACAAATAAATAAAAGAGAATCATGCACGAAATTATAGAACGGACAACATCAGGTCCCTACAAGGTTTTGAAAAAAAGCCCCTTTTGTTGGGCTGAGAAGATAGAGGAGCCCATATACCCATTTTTCATGGCCTTTAAACAATGCAAACCCTAACCCTAATCGTCACTGTCCTCAACCTATAAATTCCCTCTTCCTCTCCCTTCTCCCCTGCAAGTCGCGTTCTTCTTCATCCTTCTCTGTCATGTCTGCATCTCGTGTGGATCTTTCCTCGTATTTCCCCCCCCTTCAGTTCCTCTGTTTTGGATTTGAATGTTCGTGTTAGATCTGGTGAAACAAAGCAAGTCACAGCTTCTTGGTTAGATCTTGTGATCTAGTCAATCCAAATATCACGAAACTTGCGACATCAAAGCACAAGATCCAGTATCACTCGCCTGAATCTGACCTTCTGATTTTTCAGGCCCTTTTTTCTACTGGAAAATTCTTTTGTTTTTTTTTAATCTAAAATATAAGCCAGATCTGAATCTCATGTTTTTTCCTTTGTCGGCGATGATGATCGATGGCAAACGCACTCTGTCCCAAAACCCTAAATTCGATGTTTTGTGGCAATTTCTTCGTTTGCTAAATCAAACCCAGAATCTAATTTTGGGGGTTTCAACTTACTCGCCCTTGGGATCATTTTTGTTTCCGTGATCTCTTCGCAGGGCACATGGTTGGCGTACATTTCTTCCATCGCTTTATTCTGTTTTTTTTTCAAGTATAAGATCAATTTGTGAGAAACTGAATATTTAACCCTAATTCAGCCCTATTACAAGTTCTTGTGACCCAACTGCTTATAGATGATGCCTGATTCGTTCAGTCTCGATCAAAGTGGTGCTTATCTTGTCAAACCCTAGTTGTAGTTCATGTGAAATGACACAAACCAAAAAAGACTTAAATTTAGTTATAAAATGATTTTTTTATATTGAATTTTGTTATAAAAATTAAGCTATTAATTCTCGGTTGTGAATATGTCATATTCATTAGAGTTATGACCATAAAAATTCAAAATATTGTTTTTCTGGATGCAGAATAGATATATATTTTAAAAAGACTAACTAGTGAGGATTGTTTTTATTTTAAACTTAAAATCAAATGTTCTTTTGGTAAAGAAACAGTATTTGTTTTTTCGGTTTTTCCCAATTTTACTTGTTTGAATTGGAATTTTATATATACATAATAAATGTATATATGTTTATATTTTATTTCACGTTAAAGATGTTGAAGAGGTGGTAATAGGGGTGGTCATTTCGGTTATTAACCGAACCGAACCGAATAAGACATAACCGTATTCGAACCGAACCCGACATTTAAATCGAACGGTTATGATTTCCTTAAACCCGAAAAACCGAAATCGAAACCGAAACCGAACCGAACCGAATAAAAAATAACCGAAAAAACCGAGAGAATAACCGACAATTTCTTTGGAAAATTAAACTTTTTACCAAAACCGAACCGAACCCGAACCGAAAAATAACCGAACTGAACCGAACCGAAATTTATATAAAAACCGAATGGTTATAGTTTTTCTATAACCGAAATAACCGAACCCGAATATAATCGAATTGAACCCGAATCGAAACCCGAATTGGCCATCCTAGGTGGTAACTTATTCATAACGCAAGAGGTTCTGACGTTAAAATCTGGTTTCTTATCCAACTGCGACAAACAAACTATTGTTCAACAGACAAGTAATAATCTAAACTTTTGGTTTGTTTTATAACTGGCAGTAAAAAAAAAAAGCCTATTATTTCAGACCAGTTCAACAGAAGCTGTTGAAGAACAACAACGTATGAACTCCAAAATGGCTGCCACGAACTCTTTCTCAGAACCAGTCGTTCATCCCTTCTCTTACATATATTCCCCACACCAAGATTCTTCTCCACTCATTTTCCCATCCTGTTTTTCTTCATCTGTTTCATCTCGATCCCCTTTGGAATGGATCAAGCCGAGCTCCGACGGATCTTCCAGTTGTTCGATAGGAACGGGGATGGAAAGATCTCGAAGAAGGAGCTCAGTGATTCGTTGCAGAACCTCGGAATCTACATCTCGGATGAAGATCTGGTGCAAATGATCGAGAAGATCGACCTGAACGGCGATGGGTACGTGGACATTGACGAGTTTGGGGGGTTGTACCAGTCGATAATGGAGGAGAGAGACGAGGAGGAGGACATGAGGGAGGCGTTCAAAGTGTTTGATCAGAACGGTGATGGGTTCATAACGGTTGAAGAGCTGAGATCGGTGTTAGCTTCCTTGGGGCTCAAGCAAGGAAGAACCCTGGAGGATTGCAAGAGGATGATAAGCAAGGTCGACGTTGACGGAGATGGCATGGTGGATTTCAACGAGTTCAAACAGATGATGAAAGGCGGTGGATTCGCCGCCTTAGGCTAAAAGCCGACAGACAAGGAACCAAAAACAGATAGAGGTTTTCGAGTGTCTTCCTAGGATGTTTCTTGATGTGATCAGTTAGGGCATCTGCATGTGTGATATATTCATTATATTCGTAGCATTCGATTTTGGTTTGCCTTTTAAATGATTGTTTTTTTTTACAGAAGATTACAGAAATATAATCCGATAGCTTACAAGAAATATCAGATTAAAAAAGCTTTCATCTGTGTTGTTACTTTGGCTTCTTTTCGAAGATCTCATCTTCTTTGTTACCAAACCAGAGACTTCTGAATCATAGATAGAGAGACGAGGTTCAGATTCTTCTTCAATGGCGATACCAGAATGGGAAAGAAATGAATCAAGATTCAGATTCTTCTTCAATGGCGGATATAAGAATGAAAAATACCCATCCTCGACATGAAGAAGAAGGTCCTCTTTGACAGACAAATCATCAGCAATCTCTGTTCTTACAAAACATTAAGGAATTTTAGAGAACAACAAACGAAGTGGTAATTTACCTCAATAACTTCAGACAAGAACACAGATATCAAACTTCATTGTTCATGAGACTGATAGCTCACAAATTACGGCCCCACCTGGGTCATGAAATAACCCACAAATCCTATCACCAAAAGCTGTCAAATTTGATGACGCTCTTTATATTTACACCGATACCGATCGTTGTTTCACCGAGAGAAAGCGTAGATGGCGGTGGAAATGTAGATCAACAGAGCGGAAGAGACGAGAATCACGAGCGCCGTCACGGCGTGAGCCGCGGATTTGCTGCCACATGACAGCATACCCAACCGGATCTGGATCACATCGATCATCGACAGCATCAGGAACAGACAGCCCATGACGGATCCGACAGCTGATCCAATCATCCCCAATCTCAAAACCCTAATGTTGATGTGAGCCCTGAAGGCCTCGTCCACGTCCTTGCTGTTGAGCAGGTTCAGGGCGAGCTTCAGGCCCTGAGCGACCAGAGACGAGAACAGGAAGAAGCTGAAGGAGACGACCTCGAATACCAGAAGCTTCTTCGCCACGTCAGCACCGGCGTCGCAGGCGGAGCGATCCTCGAGGCTGCGTTGTCCAGGCGTCGCCAGGGACAGACCCACGAAGACGGCGATGGTGAAGAGCGAGTTCACGTTCACGAGGCCGTCCAGGGCGCTGACGTGGACGCTCGTCGTGCCGCCGCCGCCGCCGGAGTAGGATTGTGACGTCACTCTTCCGGCGGATCCGGTGGTTGTTAAGTACCCGTCCTTTGGCTCAGATCTGCAGGAAGAAAAACAAAATAGGACACGCGAGGAAAATGCCATCAAAAGGAGATTCATTGGAGAGAGAGAGAGAGAGAGAGAGAGGATGAAGCTCACTCTTCCATGGATGAATCTGATGTTTCCTCGGAGAGAGAGAGAGAGGGGTTTATGTGGGATGCTTCTTTCTCTGGTCGGGTGATGACGTGGCGATTACCACAAGTTAGACAGGACAGGGAAGTGACTAATGTCTTAAAAGAGAGAGGCGTGGGAGTCAATTGACCAAAATACCCTCTCTCTTTTACGCCTTGCGTTGGGAGGAGGAGGAGATCCATTATCCACGCCTTGCTTTCCTTTTTAAATAAAAATTACCGAAATCAACATATAGATAATGATATCAAAATATTATAAAAATATGTATCCTCCTATATGGTAAGATTTGAATTCAATTATTTAGTTTTAAAGGATCCATGCCTTCCCTTTTAAATAATCATCGAAATTTAATAATTGTATGATACAGAGAATAATCTGATGTTTGAGGTCTATGTATCCGATAATTGTTCTGCAATTATTTGGATCAATATTTTATGGTTTAAAAAAAAGCGAGGGTGATCGTAACGGTTTGGCAAAACGATGAAAGTGATACGCAAAGACATTACACGTTCATTGCACAATCTTGCGTGTGTCGGTGTGTATATATATATATACACCACACACACCAAAACGGCAAAATTGAAAAGAAATATATATACACACATTCTTAATGTGCTAAAGTTTTGAACAAAGTTTTTTTTTAACTCTTTGACGGTAAATCAACCGCCATTATATGAGACCACCATATTTTCGGTCTCATGGATATTTATGGGAGGGTTTGTGTGAATACAAACTTGATGAAAATAAATAATTTAATCGGTCAGATTTGTCAAAGAAATCTTTTAAATAAAATAAAAAAACTAACCCCATGTCTTATAATGACTAATGGGTTGGATTAAATTAAGTTTGACATCACTAATCACAGTCAAATCAAATACTTATTAAATGTATACCCTAATTTCAGTTTATCAAATACCCATTGGTCATCCTAACAAGACTCTTGTCTTCTGTCAAATGGTCAAAGATAAAAGCGTTTGGGACAGTTGAAGTTAACTGCAGTAATAAAACATCATTGTCGTTCTCTGTACAACAATAACAATGGCTAAAACCAAAAGATACAATACAAAAAAAAATATATACCAAAATTTTGGTGGTGAATGGCCAAAAAAACGTCAAGCATCTTTCTCTAAGATTTGATTCCTACTGTCTGCTGCAGCTTTCTGTGTGAGGTTTGTCAGGTGAAACATCTAAATGTGAATCTATTGTCGAGCCATCTGAACTGCATTCTCTGCTTTTCTACCGAGGATTGTTCCCAAGAACACGAGAACTGGTCGTAACCATTGGTTCAGGAGAAACTGCAAATTCTCTTGAAGCCAGAGAATGAGAAGAATGGCGAGAGCCAGAGAGAAAGAGACTCCGGTTATCATAAACAGACCTCGGAATCTGTAAAGGGTCAGAGGATTGGATGCGTCATCCTCGGTTGTGTAGGGTAGTTCTGTCCTGAACCATCTTTTCTCGATGTCGTTCATCCTTTCGCTCGCCCTAAGGTTTGCGATTTCCCGTGACACGTTATGAACCAACTCAGAACCTTTCTGAAACATCTGCAATTACCAAATTGAGAGTATCTGTCAGCGAGAATTGGGAAACAGCTCAATGCTTATAACCAGTGAGGTCCTAACCATCGGTTATATCGTTTATTTCCGGCTAGAGAAATAGAAGATGAAGGGACGAATACATACAAAGCCGAAGCCATTGGTGGTGGTTTGAGTTTTAACCATGAGGAACTCTGTAGGGTTTTCACCGAGGAGGACTTTTAGGTATGGCATCTCATCGACGACATACGAGACGCTTCTGTTCGACAAAGCCCGAGCATAATCATCGGATGTATTAAGACCCTTGTACCTTGAAGCTCGGAAGGTAGAACTGTCAAGAACCAACTTAGCGATGAGCGAGCCATAAAGGTGGCCTACATAGTTTTGATTAGTCTTGAATCGTATTTGTTGGATTGTCATCATCGATGTCAGAGTTGCAGTGTAACTTGACGTCAGTATCAGCACCGCAAACACCCAAATTATAACGACGAATCTCGACAAATTATGCTTCAGGCTCTCCCCTGTAAAAAAAAAGGTAAGCAGAAAAAGGCAGAATGCTTAAACTGACTAGTAATATGGTGCAGTTTCTTTCATGTCAAACTATAACGACGAATCTATCAAAAAACAGATAAACTATCTGATCTTCCTGTGTTCAGATTTCAGCAATGTTTAAGAGTCCGACATTCAGGAATGGCGGGAATCAAATGTAGAATATGCGACATTTACAATGGAAACATATGACTTACTGTGAGCGAAAACGAGGGTAGAAAACCCGAACCAGAGCATCATTCCAGTCTGTTGAGATAATGAGCCTTGGAAGTCGGTATTGACGGGCCGTTCTATCAACCAAACTATAATACCCGTCAAGACGAAGAAAGCTGCACTTGTTAGCCAAAGGCCTGGGGTAAGAGGCTTAAAGAAAACCCACATGCTTCTGTCCTTTGGCGCCACAATTCCAAGACCAAAGTCAGTGAATGGCATAGTGAAATCAACATAAAAAGATCGGTTGGCAGTGATTGTGATATCCCCGACCGCCGCATCATATCTGTCTTTCTGCAGAGTAGGGAATGCATCAGAAAATTACTGGGCCAAGATCAAACTGTAACAAAATTAGATGAGATTAGTAATCTCAAGGGCTACTTTTTTCACACTTGTAAAGATACAACAACAGCAGCAACATCTCATTAATGCCAAGTTTATTTGGGGTCGACCTTATGAATTCTTCTTTTCCACTCATTTTGATTTTGGGTTAAATATTCCGAGATTTGTAACAACTTCAAATACACACTTGTAGAGATACAGATGATTAAGCCTTGAATACAATATACAACAGACATTCAAGTTTCATCTATGGAGGCGCATACCTGAGTATAGATGGCAAACGCAAGATTGTTGTAATTACTGCCATTACGCCAAGGTATGTACTCCAGTTCATAGTTGAAAGGGCTGATGGCAGTTTCAAAAACTTCTATACAGAACCCCTTTGCAGACGTGACCCCAGTTAACGGATCAGTATTCACCTCCATCAATCTTGGGAACCTGTTGCTCGATGTAACAAGAACCCTAAGCTTTTTTCTCCGTCTATCCCCCAGACCACGACCTTTCGGGGTTATAGAAGTTCCTCCGGGCCAGATGATGGTCTCAAGCTCATTGGTAGAAGACAAATGTCTTCTATTGCTGAAACCATGAGAAGTCCAGAATCCGAGCCTTCTCTCACCCGTTCCTATGATATTTACGATTTCGTACTTTTCTGAGGAAAGCTTTTTATTGACGAACTGGACATCACCACTCAAGCCTTTAAACTTACTCTGTGTAATTGCCCCAAGAAGAGCCGATACATTTGAACCTGGCAGCCTTGAAATCTCCGCTGCTCGTGCTAGATTACAAGCAACATCGTGCCCCCATATACCAGAGATGCTCAAACCATTTATTTCTGGTCCAACTTCCTCCATGGGCAATGATCTTCTCCATCTCAAAGTAAAATTGTAAAGCTCTTTCGACATTGGAATATAAGACCTGAAACCAACCACCCCTTCCATGGTTTCCTTTACAAAATGGTCGGTATAATGCAAATGATTCATGGTTCTTGCGGTGAGGATCCAGGCATACCCTTCTCCCATCATGCCTAAGTTTCCTGCACATGGGAAGAGCTGAGACGAAAGATGCTGAGACATGTGCGTGACAAAAATTTTCATTCCTGCGGCCTTTAACTTCTGGAGTTGTTCCATGATATTGTCTTCTCCAGAGGAGACAGAGATAGCACTCTTATGCACAATGCGGATGTCATTCTCTTGGAAATGTTCCACCAACAGTTGCATGCTCTCTCTCCAGTCATCGTCGTCCTCCTCATAGACAAGGACAACACTTGTCCAGTCAAGACGACGGATGAAAGCGGAAATGCCTTTGGCCTCAGATATGGGATCATGCGAGGCTTGAACAAAGTGACTATACTTCTTCAAGGATAACGAGCTCGGAACATGAACAGAAACCACAGGAACTTTAGCTTTCTCACCAAGCTCTCCCAAAAGCTTTGCTTCGAGCAACGATTGCCCACCAATGATTGCGTCCACTTGTTCATTTTGCAGGAGATCTACAGCTGTTTCATACAGAGACAGATAGTTGGATAATGAGCATCCAAAGCATCGCCTCACACTCACATTCACGTATCCAGCAATTAAATCAGAAACGGACAGGAGATGCAGATCAGTATTTTTGGGAAACTGAGTTCAACAGTATAAGAAACTGCTACAAAAACAAAGCAAACAAAAGATGCTATCCAAATTTCACACAACTCTCCCGTTTTCTGGCACTTACTCTTTCTCGGCAAGAGAGGTCTTATCCAACTATATTTTGGGGATCTATAAGAAGAGAAACTCATTCAGATAAACCACCATTTCCGTCGGAGATATCAGAGCAAAAAAAATCAAGAATACAGACCTGTGCTTTCTTTCTCAGGTTCCCTTTGGCGAGTATTTTGGTTATTTTCTGTCTCTACAGTTAACAAAAACAAGAACCTTAAAATCTGGCTCGACATGCTCTGCTCAAGTTTTATTGTTCTTTTTATGTCATAATCTCACATTTTTCTGAAACTAACGTTTTTACTGAAAATATTTTTGTGTGCACACCAGACACCCAAAGGGGCAACAACCTAAGCCTTATGGGACAACCAACTTGCAGGTCTGAAATTTCATCATATTGACAACTTTGATACGTTTATGTTCATTTACATCTATCTCTCTCTAGCGCTTCAGGAGTTTGAGGAGCTCGGTTTTCCAAGAAGAAGAAAATCGAAAAAACCTCATCCAATCATTAATAAAAGAAAGCTCAAGACAACAAAGGAAACCATCCACACAACAAAGGAAACCATCCACACATTCCAAAGAAGACAAGAAACAAAGAAGGATCATATAAATAACACAGGCGTTGACAGTGACATACCAGCAGCAAGAGCTAGGAGAGGCTCCCCATGGGAGTTTCTGACCAACACAGAGGCTCTTGTTTTGTATCCTATGTTAACTTTGTAGAAATCTGAGAGCGCCATTTCAATGGAGCTTCTGACAATCTTTCCCTCCACGGAATCCATGTCCAACACCAACCCGACTCTAACTTCTTCGAACCAGGAAGTCCCATTTACGTCGTTGTTCTGATGAGCTTCACCGGGTATGGAAATTCCAGACAGAGGAGCCACTGAGCTGAAGATGAAAAGAATAAGACTAAGAAGAGATGACTGCAGAATTTGGTTATGAATCTTATGTTTCTCCATAAAGAAAAGGTGTAGCTCTCGAGTTACACAAATGATGATATCATCACCAACCAACCCTTGCCTGCTGTGGACATATAAATAAAGATTAGATAAAATACAGTGTTAAAATTCCATGGACCATCTTGATTCCTATGAACAAGATGGTTCCGGGTCAACATTAAGAATGACAAAGACTGAAGAAGATAAAAAAGAAAATGTTAATATTTCTAAAAAGAGAAATTGCTGAGAAGGTTGTCATGATTGGTTGACATTTAAGCAATTGTAGTTCTGGATACATCAAAATGTGTTGACGAGAACTTTTCAAAGTTTACTTAGTGCAATGCCTTTGAATGGTCAAAGATATAAATCCGAAAGAAAAGAAAACCGAAGTCATTGTACAAAAGTAAACTGTCTTATATATAAGCAACCTTGTAGAAGAGAACATGGAATTTACTCGGTCCATTGAACTGCTGCTGTTTTGAATAGGTCAGCTTCCTGCTTGGCTCCTGCAATTATCAGGCTTGGCAATCACATTTCAATATAATTACTCAATGTTGCGCACAGACAGCAGCTCATTATAAGTTATAACCTATGCAAAGTTGATACTTTCATTGATATGTAGTGTAGTAATTCAGACAAAATCTCATACACACAGTTAGGATGGTTGTATAAATGATAACAGATCTCAGGGAATAAATCTAAACCCTTTCAGTACAATGGTCGGGTCTTCTGTCTTTAGCAGAGAGACTTCATATCAGAATAACAGCCGGTGGACCATGCTCCAGCTATTTACACAATCAGGTCAGGTATACTATACATTGTACACAGAGGGAGCATTATGCTAAGAGCTTATCAATGACAGACGAGATGCTTGTTTGCACGATTCAATTGGTATGTACGAATAAAAGCCACCAAAGAGTGGGGATACCGTCTAGACTGCATTCCCGTTCTCCCAGCTGGGCATATCTGCAGTGGTGGGAGATCCAGGATGAACGGCTCGTGAAAATAACCTCCTGAAGGTACCAAGTTGATGGTTGGCATATTTTTGTAAGACTAGTCGTCTCTTCTGGAGCCAGGAAGCTAGAAGCAAGGTGAGGGCAAAACCGAAAGAAACTCCAGTGATCATAAACAATCCACGGAACTTGTAAAGGGTCAGAGGGTCAGATGTATCCTCTGCTGTGTAGGCCGGTTGTCTCTGGAACCACCATTTCTCCATGGTTTCCAGCCTCCCCGTTCTCCTCAGCTTCGCAATTTCTTGGGACACGTTTTGAACCAAAGGAGAACCTTTCTGGAACATCTGAAGTCAACATTGAATATCTGAGAGTAAGTAAGAGAACACTCTGCTCAACACAGACTTCAAAATTTGTCAGAACAAGCTAAAGGCTGAACATGTTGAGGATAGGTATACTTACAAAGCCGAAGCCGTTGGTGATGGTTTCTCTTTTAATCATGTACAAGTCAGTGGGATATTCCCCAAGGATGACCTTGAGGTATGGGAGCTCATCAATGATAAATGAGACAGTTCCATTCTGCAAAGCGTTCCCATAATCGTCGGATGCAGTGAACTGTCTGTATCTTGGACCTCGGAAGGTAGAATTGCTCAGAACCACATTTACAATAAGTGAGCCAGAAAAAAATCCGACGTAGTTCTGGCTTGACCTAAACCGCATCTGTTGGACCGTCATCATTGACGTCAAGGTTGCAGCATAGTTTGAAACCAATATAAGCACTGCAAAGACCCAAACTAGAACCACAAATCTTGACAAGTTCTTTTGCAGCCTCTCCCCTGCGAAAGCATATTCAGCAGAAAAGGTTGGAATTCGTATACAGGCAAGCAATAAGGCACATTCTCTTTCAACTCATCCCTAATATTTCTCAGCTACATGCCAAGACGAGTACAACCTTCATTAAAAACTGTCCCAATCACAACGAATCTTTGTGAATTGATGAGAAACAACTGCTTTTATATCTAAAGCACTTTTTCAAAGTTCCCATGCCCCAATATCAAATGGAGGTGTTTTAACAATCAACAAGATGGTAGATTTATGTATATTATCAGAGGTTATAATGTAAATGCAGTACTTACTGTGAGCATACACAAGGGTAGAGAATCCGAACCACAGCACAGTTCCAATCTGCTGGAACCATGGACCCTGGAACTCTTCATTATCAGGCCGTTCTATCAACCAAACTATACTGCCGGTCAGGACGAAGAAAACTGCAGTCGTTAGCCACAGACATGGGGTAAGAGGCCTAAAGAAAACCCACATGCTTTTGTCCTTCACTGCCACGACTCCAAGACCCATCTCGGTGAAAGGCATTGTAAAATCAACGTATGCAGATCTGTTATCAGTAATCGTGATGTCCCCAACAGCAGCATCATACTTGTCTTTCTGCGGAAGAAATTCAACAAACGGTTATCAGATTAAAGTCACCAAGGACATTCCATCCAAGGTAAAGCAATCTTCACAACAAACATTATTTTGATTTCCCTGTATTGTAATAGCCTTAGCATAGCTAGAAAACACCATTTTTTCAGGAACGATTGAACAGGAATACAGGCCATGAAAATGAGTAAATTATAATATATTTCACAACAAGCTCTTGGTTATTTTGTATGCATATACCTGGCTATAGACTGTATAAGCAAGATTGTTGTAATTACTTCCATTACGCCAAGGTATGTACTCCACTTCATAATTTAACGGGGCAATGGCATTCTCGAAAACTTCTATACAGAATCCCTTGGCCTTCGTAACCCCTGTTAACGGATCAGTATTCACCTCCACCAGTTTTGGGAACTTGTTGCTCGAGGTAACGAGAACCCTGAGCATTTTTTTACCTCTATCTTCCAGAGAACGGCCTTTCGGAGCTTTAGAAGACCCCCCGGGCCAGATGATGGTCTCCAGCTCATTGGTAGAAGACAAAAGTCTTCTATTGCTGAAATTGCTGGAAGACCAGTATCCCACTCTTCTCTCACCCGTTCCTAAGATATTCACGATTTCAAACTTTTCCGAGGAAAGCTTTTTATCGATGAATCGGATGTCACCACTGAAACCCTTGAGATCACTCTGTGTAATTGCCTCAAGAAGAGCCGATGCATTTAAAGATGCTCTAGTTTCAGCAACATTAGAACCATGATCGTGGGCTGTTGCATTTGACAGCCTTGACATCTCTGCTGCTCGAGCTAGGCTCCAAGCAATATCATGCGCCCATATGCCAGAGATGCTCAAACCTTTTACTTCTTCCCCAACATCGTCAATGGGCAATGACCTTCTCCACCTCAAAGTAAAATTGTAGAGATCTTTTGACATTGGAATATAAGACCTGAAACCGATGACCCCGTCCATCGTCTCCTTCACAAAAAGATCCTTGTAATGGAAATGATTCATGCTTTTTGCAGTGAGGATCCAGGCATAGCCTTCTCCCATCATTCCTAAACTCGCTGCACATGGGAAGAGATTAGAGGCGAGATGTTCAGACATGTGCACGACAAAAACACTCGTTCTTGATTCATTGAACTTTTGCAGCTCCTCCGTGATATAATCTTCTCCAGACGAGACTGAAAAAGCGCTCCTATGCACAATGTGGACGCCATTCTCTTGGAAGTGATGCACCAAAAGTTGCATGCTTTCTCTCCAGTCATCGTCGTCCTCGTAGATGAGGACAACACTTGTCCAGTCAAGACGACGGATGAGAGAGGTAATGCCCTTTGCCTCCGACGTGGGATCATACGTAGCTTGAATAAAGTGACTGTATTTCTTCAAGGATAACGAGCTAGGAACATGAACCGAAACCACAGGAACTTTAGTTTTCTCCCCAAGCTCTGCCAAAAGCTTTGCTTCGAACAACGATTGCCCACCAATGATTGCTTTCACTTCTGAATTTTGCAGGAGATCCACAGCTGTTTCAGGCCCAGATGCACAATCAGATCAGGGCATACATATAAAAAAAACACAAAAATTAGCTACAAGAACAAGACAAAAATCCAAAATTTCACCTAACTCCTCCAAATTCTAGGTGTCCCTAGCCCTACCTCTGCGGGCGATCAATCTCATCCGAAAAATTGTAGGAAAACTATACAGAGAAACGCACTCAACGCAGGTATTTGTACAGTAATCGGAAGAAAAAGCGAGAATTACAAGTACTTCTGCAGATACCGGAACTCAAAGACAGAAATTACAACAGATCTATACTTTCATTTCTCAGGTTAGGGTTTTGATTTGGCTCCCAATTTGTATAATTTGAAACTCTACCGATCTCTTCAGATTTCTCTTCGCCTCTTAATTGGCTTCTTTTTCTTGTTCTACCTTGACTACCCCACATTTTTCTGAAACTAACGTTTTTACCCCCCAAAGTTGTAGAAGTTACAGAGCCCCCCTCCATGGCTTAGTAAACTAATGTGCACTATTTTTTCTTGTTCTTCCTTTATTTAGATTTCTTTGTGTTCATACTTTCTCTTTCTGTTCGTCAATACCCGAATTCAACAACGAAGAACATCTTCACGTTCCGACAGAAAAAAAAAACTTACCAGAAGCAAGAGCTTGGAGAGCCTCTCCACGGGAGTCTCTGACTAAAACAGAGACTCTTGTTCTGTAGACATTGTTTATGCTGTAGAAGTCTGAAAGCGCCATGGAGACAGAGCTTTTGACAATCTTCCCCTCCATGGAAGCCATATCAAGAACCAATCCGACCCGGACCTCTTCATACCTCGAACTCGCGTATACGTCGCCGTTTTGACGATCTTCACTCTCTTCGGGGGTTTCGTACAGAGAAGAAGCCAGTGAGCTGAAGATGAGAAGAAGAAAAAGAGTGTGAAGAACCCTACCCTTCTTGATCTTCTCCATAAAGGTGAAGTTTACATGCAAAAGGCGAGAACTTTCCTACTCGTCAAACCAAAGATCATTACCTCACGCTTTCTGGGTGGAATATAAATGGAGATAGAGATGATGGAATTGATAAACTGTTTTTGTGGGTTACTTGGATTCCGGAGGGAGGAATTGGTCAACGGTCAGACAGCAACACCGGAAGAAGAACGTGATGCTTTGTTTTTTTAATGAAGGAAATGCAAAGAGATGGGCTGTCTTTAAAAAAAAAAAAGAATATCTTCAGCACAACAATTTTGACTGGTCATGGAGACAAGTCTGGAATTAGACGTCGATGGAGTCATTGAGCTGAACAGTTGACATGTTAGAAAAGCTTTGAGAAGACGAACACAAATAGGTCAACTGGACTGGTTTGTGGAACTGGTCAGTTTCTCCGCTCTCGTTCAGGTCACACTACCAAGCAGAAGCTCATGACGTGCTACACACGGAAACTATCTCAATTGATTTTACCCGGGAGAGTACATATATAAATATATGTGTATAACAAAGGGTGGGAACAAAGTATCAACTTATACAACATTCATGATATAATTAACAGTAGGAACTTGTTTCTTAGTTTTTTTTGGCGGGAGTTGGTCCTGCAAATACTAGAAATCACCCGTACACAGCAACATCAAAGGAAGTAAAAGACTAGAGAGGTTAAAAAAGCTGCCACAAAGTTAACCATAGGAGTCACAGTCACAGTCACAGTCACCTTCTCTTCTCTGCCAGTGGTCTGATTAGTGGAAGTAAGGAGGAGGAGGAGCAGCCTGGTACTGGTAGCAGTTCCCGTAGAAGTTCCAGTGTGCGTGCGTGGGAGGGAAAGTGTATGTCGGAGGGGGAGGAGCTGGGCTTGCCAAGAACGGGCCGTTGAGGAAAGGTCTGTTCTCATACACATACTGTGGATACCGGTCAGGGACTCTGTTGTATCCTGCCTTGTTGCTGTCAGTGCCAGTGTTAGTGACCCGGGGTTGAGCAGCTTGGTTTGCACGTGGTCGTTTTGGCTGGGGTTTAGTGGGTTCGGTCGCTCTTTTCTTGTCTGCTTTCGCTTTCTCAAGCTGGAGAACCCGTTTGTGAAGTGGGTCAACTGGGTATTGCTCCTCCAGGTTATGCTCTTCTATGCACTTGATGACTGCTTTGAGGGCAGTTAGCTCTCGCTCGTTGAACTCATCCTGCATGGTGCACAAAATGCCAAGGCTTATACAGACAAGTTAACCAAATTCAAAACGCAGGCAGATCAAACCAGATCAAACAGAGCCAGCATTGGATGGATATAGTACACGGGTGCATCGATATGCTGATGCAAGTCAAGTGTTACAGATAGTACACTTTTCTAGTCGTGTCTTGCTACGTGCAACAGTTGAATGGTATAATATTGTTCAGACAATGATGTGCTCACTGCTGTTCAAACATATCAAAACCAAATCGTCAGCTAATCCATTCATGGAAGGTATTTTTCTATGCAGGGATAATTCATATAGTCAGCTCTAAATTTCTATCAAGAGTGATGCATGCGGACCAAACAGTTAACTTGCCTGAACAATGATTGATGCATTGCCAGGTTTGCCTTGTGAAGAAGTTCGCTTTGCTTCAGTCAAGTAGGATTTCAGTAAAGCCAGAGGCGGAAACTGTTCTGTGAGCTCGAAGGCAAAAGCCAAATTAACCGCATCAATCTGCCTTCCACTGTTCATAAGAACTTCAATCACACCTGGAACGAAAATTAATGCCAGACATCAAAGATTCAGACCCACGGTGAAGGACGTGCAAACACAAAGAAAGTTTAACATAGACATGTTCTATGTTATGTTTGATCCTTCATTTCATATCCTGTCGAGTTAGTGAAAAAATACCTAATCCCTGTCTCAAAAAGTCGCAACGTAGAAGATAACCAACAACAGCCTTAAGAATAGAGTAACAAACCGGGCATTTTCTCAGATAATCCAAGAGAGCGGCACAGCTCAGCAGCCTGACGGCGTCGAGAAACCATGGGAACCAGCTTGTAGAGTTCTTCCTCTTTAAATTCAGAAGCAATGTCGAAAGCGGCCAGCAGTTGCAGGAAAGCATGAGCCTCCAATGAATTCCCATTGCTAGCATCGATGTCCAGAGTCTCGAGCATCGGCTTCCATCCTTCAGCAATAATCTTTGCTCTCTGCTTAACATCTTCAGAGAGTACAGCAGCAAGAGAAGTTGGGTCGAGACCAGATAACAAAATGCTAAGGCACTCCATCAACATGATACAGGTCCTGCGTATACCCAAGAGGTTAGGGTCTTTCTTCCCATCAGCATTTTGGGCCTCCACCGGGTAAAACCCTTCAAAAGAGTTCAATACCAAACTGGCTGGGTTAGCTGCTGCCTTGAGAGCAAATGGAATCTCCTCCTTAAGAGCCGCAAGGTTCTTACGGTTGTCTGAAACAAATTTATGGAGCCCCGTGGAATCCATGTCTTCACACAGTTTCAGTAATTGGGGGTAAGCCTTCACCTCAAAATTTTCCATCTCAGGTGAGCTCTGAACATCTTCCACAGTACCATCTGGATAATCGTCAGTAATGCCGTCATGGGCAAAGCCATCGGGTGAATCCTCCACAGCATTTTCAGCCCTAATTTCACCGAGAGTGGTGACACTAACAGGCTCAGCAGACGGCACATTCTTGTACTTGTCCAAAGCACTGGTTATGGCAAGAACAGCAGCATCTCTCTTCTTCTGAAGCCTCTCAAGTGAAGCCTTCTCCTTGGCTTCCACAGCTGCCTTCTTTTTCTCCAGCAATTCTTGGGCTTTCCTTGTTTTGGTTTCATACTCTCTCTCCTGGTCTTCCAGCTCATGAAACCGTCTCTTCAAGGACCTCTCCAGCCCATGAAAATGTTCCTCAAGTTCCTTCCATTTCAAATTAAGTGTTATGGCACGCTGACTTTCAAGTTCAGCAAAGGCCTTCTGAAGCTGCTGAATCTTGGACGAGGTGGAGTCCATAAGCAAAGCAACTGATTGGGCTTCCTCCATCGCTGAATATCTAAAGAGGGAAGCAAAATGAAACTAAGAAAGAAAGTCTTGACCACAACGACGCTATCAAAATATAACAGGTGATATAATTCATACAAAAAAGTAAGGAAAACAACCAACCCAAGAAAATCATACAGATAAAAAAACATAAATAACTACCATCAAATAAAATTCTCATATTAGTAGCTCAATAACTCCTAAGACAAATCACACATACATAATCACATACACACTTACACTGTCATGTTGAAGAACCCAAAAACATAAAGATACTGAATTACAGGAAATCAGACAAGAACATACCAATCTGGATGAGTCGAATCTCCAAGCTGTGACTTGAAACCTCAAAATTCCTGAACATTAAACATCTAAGAAATAAATGTCTGAGATCATGCAAAAGTAAAGGAATAGCATAGACTATCCAAGATCTAAAAGTCCAATGACATCTTCACTGGTTGAACATCAACCAAATCAGCTTTATGAACAACGCTACAAGCTATATTGAACGAATATGCTGGAAAAGAGCTAAATCCAAATGAAAAACAACAACACGAGCAGGGGAAGAAAAACAAACAAAGAAGAATCCGGGAACCCTAGAAGCACAACTGGTTCTTGATCAATACAAAACTGAAATCACCTCCACGAGCAAAATTATTCTTCTTAATGCCAAACATCCGGAGAAATGAGCTAATTTCCAGATACAAAATATGTACACACAAAATCATCTTCGACAACCAAACTAACGCATGATAATCCACGAGTTTCTAAGAAAAATAAGCTAAAATTCGGAAAATATCAACAAGAACCCAGCCAAATAAAACTGTAGATTGACAAAATGAGAGAGCAAACTAGCGGATTCTGATGACATCTCCACTCAATCAATAGCAGCCAACAATCTTCGAGAACGAAATTCAACTCTGCGCAAGAAAACCCAGCTAATAATCCAAGGAAATCAGCAAACCCTAGCTACAGCCATCATTGAACAAGCACAAAAACTGCAACAAACAAACACAGAGAAAAAGCCACAGAAACAGAAAAACTTTACCCGGAAAACGATCAGACAAAGAAACTGCTCGAAGAAGAGATCAAAATCCTCCAGGAGCACCGGAAGATCACCGATCCATCTCCAGAGGAAGAGAGAAAAATCCCTAAAGGGAAGAGAGTGAAGAAGAAAAGAGGAAAGTTGAAGCGAGGCGAAAGCAAAGTGTTATATAACAGACTTTTTTTTTTCTTCTTAATCTACTTTTTTCTTGGAGCACACCACCCAAATTTGCTATCTCCAGGCCCAGTGATATCTAGCTTGGGGCTCTCCACCAACCGGTTGGGCAATATGATGGAGTGGCGATAGCGAAACACAGAGTGCCCTTACAAGTGTTGCCACGTGAGTTTGTCTGAAGCTGCCGGGAACCTAGGCTTCCTTGAATTCTACTCTTTTTCCCCGTAGAGGTAGCCAGTAGGTGTTCATTTTCTTAATTGAAAATTAAAATTCTTTAACAACTTATATTTAATAAATGGATAATTTTAGCCTAACATTTTATTGGATAAATAAAGTTTATCAAATATAAATATTCTGAATAAATTCTAAAAAAGCAAGCAGGTAACGGTAATAAAATGACTATATTTTGGTAAGATACACACTATAATGAGAATAGATATGGATCTTGACATTAAAAAATTACAGTACGCGAAATCGTGGCAGAATTATTTACAAAATTAATTAATTCAAATAATTTAGTGGGTTGCTACAAATTTTTGTTTTGGCGGCTGAAGAAAATTGTTTTTTCCCATTTATTTAATCATCTTAACTTGATAATTAATTAATAAAAAAAAGAACGGGAGAAGGACAAATAACTTTTGGGCTGACGGCTACACTGTCTTTTGAGTTTATAGGCCCAAAACGTGGCCCAATTAATAACGCCGTCCATGTAGTTTTAGACCGAATCCAAAAACCGATTTAAACCGAATCGTTGGTTTGTATTCGGTATAATTTTATGCCGATTTGAACTAAACCGAATCCAAGTCAAACCAATCAAACTCGTAATAAACCGAAAAAAAAAACATTTGATTCGATTCAAAGAGAAACTGTGTTTCCCGTCATGAACCAAACTGAATATGAGTGGGAACGAACTCAATTTATCCACTCTTAATCATTAGCATATTAAGGTTTTAGAATTAAAAAAATAATTAAATTGAATGTTAGAGTTGAAAATAAGTAGATTTAAGCGATTATTAAGAGATTAATTTGAATTTTGAATACTATTTATTTTATTTGCCGTAATTTAAACGTACAAAATGCAGATTGCTGAGTATTTTGAACGATGGAAGGATACATGCCCAATTTCTGTCTTTATTAGACAAGAAATTCCCTGAGAATTTAATATATAGTTTTTGTATTGGGTTTTTGGTTTTCATACTTTTTATAAAACATGAGAATCCAAAAAATGGATTTATAGTTTTTATATGATTTTTTCAATAAAATGAGTTTTTGAGTTAAAAAAACAAATATACAAAATCTTGACTAGATTTTATTTTGGTTTTTTCTTCTAAAATCTGGAAAAACTCTTGCCATTCAATGCCTTATTGCTAAGATTCAGAATCATCCACCGATATATATATATATATATATATTGCTTCAACATCGTTTGAAACCAAACAAAAAACAGGATTGGTAATAAAATCTCATAAAAAAATAGAAGTTGAATGTGTGGCAATCTTTAGACCTCTAGAACACGTAATCTAATTGCAAACGGTTCCGACACTGACCCCAACATTTATGGAAGAATCAACCACCTGTTTTTAATTTCAAGTCCCTTCCTTCTTTCAATGCTTCACCTTCCTCGTTCATCTTCCATCTCTTTTTTGCCCTTTTTCCCTCTCTCTTGAGATTCAGATTTCTTGATTCCACAACCCAAAACGAGAGCTTTGTTTGGAATTCAACCCGATTCTTATCAACCCATTTCGCTAATTCTCAGCTCAATGGACTTGAACTCGTGTTCTTCTCCGACAACCATCCCCGTCGTCTCCACCTTTGCCTCGCCGTTCGACGATGGTCCGGCGAATCCATCCGCCGTCAACGGGTCGACCCGGAAACCGTTGAGCTTGTGGCCGGGGATGTACCATTCGCCGGTGACAGCCGCCCTCTGGGAGGCTCGGGCCAAGATCTTCGAGAGATTGCTCGACCCACCTAAAGACGCGCCTCCTCAAAGCGAACTGCTCACGAAGACGCCATCGCAGAGCAGAACTAGTATTCTCTACAATTTCTCCACGGATTACATTCTGCGTGAACAGTACAGGGATCCCTGGAACGAGGTCCGTATCGGGAAATTGCTCGAAGACCTTGATGCTTTAGCTGGTACCATCTCCGTTAAGGTATACGACGCTTGCTTCTGCGACTAGAAGGGTCGCATTTGAATGATTTTGCGTCAAGGGTATTGCTCAGAATCGAAACTTTCTGAATTGGGCAGTGTGTTTGGTCGGACACGTTTTACTTCTAATGACATGATTCTGAATCTGGGTCTGTCCGGGAATATAGTTCACAATCTGACACAATGACTGGTTGCTAATAAATCTAAACTGTGATTCAGCACTGTTCTGATGATGATAGCACAACAAGGCCACTGTTGCTGGTGACGGCTTCTGTTGATAAGATCGTTGTTAAGAAGCCCATAAGTGTAGACATTGATCTGAAGATAGTTGGTTCTGTGATATGGGTTGGCCGATCATCTATCGAGATTCAGCTTGAAGTCATACAATCCAAACCAGGCATGTAAAGACTTAAGACTTGTTTCTGTTTGCAGATTAATCTCTGTAGAGTGTAGACAGACACTCAAAGACTTGTTTCTGTTTTGTTTTTTCGTCAGAAGGTCTTGATGGTTCGGATTCGGTTGCTCTGACAGCCAACTTCATATTCGTGGCTCGTGACTCTAAGACTGGTAAGGCTGCACCCGTGAATCGGCTCTCCCCAGAAACCAAACACGAGAAGCTTCTGTTCGAGGACGCTGAAGCTAGAAACAATCTGAGGAAAAGGAAGAGAGGAGGAGACAAAAGGGAGTTTGACCAGATGAAGTACAAGAGGATCGAGTCTCTGTTGTCTGAAGGAAGGATCTTCTGCGACATGCCAGCCCTTGCAGACAGAAACAGCATTCTTCTGAAAGACACCCGTCTCGAGAATTCTCTTATATGCCAACCACAACAGAGGAACATCCATGGCAGGATCTTCGGAGGGTTTTTGATGCACAGAGCATTTGAGTTGGCCTTTTCAACAGCTTATGCCTTTGCCGGATTGGTTCCATGCTTTCTAGAAGTCGATCACGTCGATTTCCTACGACCAGTAAGTATCCAGATTCATGTTGACTCTCTTCTTGTCTACATTCTCCTCTTGAATACTTAGTTCGGATTCATGGGCAGGTGGATGTCGGGGACTTCTTACGCTTCAAATCATGTGTGCTGTACGCACAACTCGACCAGCCAGATCATCCAGTCATCAACATTGAGGTCGTTGCTCATGTTACAAGACCTGAGATCCGATCCAGTGAGGTAAAATCTCAAATTTTGCAAATGGGTTTTCTCCACATCTGCTCCCTTTCTGGCTTTGATTCAGATTTTGCAGTGATTCTCTAGAAAGCACAAATCTTTATGCAAGTCCATTCCTTCCGGTATGCTGCTCAAACTCAGACATGTAATATGTGCAAAATGTGATCCAGGTTTCAAATACATTCTACTTCAAGTTCACTGTTCGTCCAGAGGCAAAGGTCACAAACAATGGGTTTAAGCTTAGAACTGTAGTTCCCGCAACAGAGGAGGAGGCTCGCCATATTCTTGAGCGCATTGATTTGGAAGCATTGGACATCACCAACAAGCAACACGTTGTGTGATGTTCTGAAAAAGCTATTTATAGAAAGACTTCGAAATCTTCTGTTCTGAACAGAATCTCAGTTCATATTTAATACAAAACTTCTCTGACCTGAAAGACTCATGAGCGTTTCTATATTATCTCCTCGGTCGACCTGCCACCACACAAAAACCGACTTGTTCAATCTCACTGGAAGTAAAACACAGAGAACACAAACTGTTCGAACAAGAAACGATCAGCTTCGACAATTCGACAGGTTGCCGCTTTCTTGTTTGAGAATATACCTTCTGCTTCTGCTTAATGAAACCTTCCCCGTGTTTGCTATCGTGCCTGACTTTGGCACCATCAGGGAAGCTAGATGACCATTTCCAGGTTTCGGGATCGTAACGTAACATCAGTGCTCACATCTTTTGGTATCTACGTAAATTGTATCAGCTTGTCACAGATTTTAATGCTCGAGAACCTATTGCTGTTGGCACAAAATGGTATTGGTGTGATTTCTTTGTAACAAAGAACAAAGAGAGACCATAATCGCAGCTAGTTTTTTTTATGGGTTTAAACTTTTAATTTCAACCAAAATAATGTAGTCTAGTTAGATTTTAGTTTCGGGTGAAAACCAGAAATTCAGACACTGCAACAGTTCAGGGTTCTGCATGGGTACCTCATTGCTGTCTGGCCGCAAGCCACTTGATCCATCTGCACAAACAATACCTTGATATGTATCCCGGCAAATCAACCTGAAAATACATCAGATAAATAAAAAAAGAAAAACCCGAGAATAAGGACAGAGACATCTAATATCAGAGAAAGGGAAACCCACGTTGGTCCATGTAGTAGAAAACTCATCTGTGGATAGCAACCAACTTCGACTTCTCTGATGCAAACCTAGAAGAAGCTCGTCATCACTGAGATCAAGATCATCGGTTCTTCTCTTCTTCTTTCTCCTTTTGCTTTTCTCCTTCTTGTGCCTCGTTTTAGCACCACGGCTTTTATCATCCGAGTCAGACTCGGTTTCTCCCGAGAATCCATTAGGACTAACCATTGAGTGGTCACTGGATCTACGGAACTCAATGCCGTTCTCCCTAAACAAAGATTCCCAAGAATCTGGAGTCTGACATTCATCTGATAATCTGAAGTGAACAATCCAAGAAAGTAGCCCGAGTAACTTAATGGCCTCGATGCTTTTCATCTCTGAAAACTCTTTCAGAGCTAGAGAAAAACTACCGGTATTGTCCAAGACCCGACAAATATCTGTCACGATTTCTTTCATCCTGTCTTGGTCATCGTTAATGTTCTCATCCCGCACAAGCCGTAGAAGCTGTCTACCTTGATTGATCACACAATTCAACAGAAGCACCTCGTCAATAGATTCCCTACCGCCATATTCGGCGAGAACAACACGAACCCAGAAGGAAGAATCATCAAAATCCAACGGTTCCAGTGTAGGGTCGACATATTCCTGAAGCAACTCGAGGAAGTGACATAGGCCGCCTTCTTCAAGAGTGATGAGGAGATGCTGTGTTAAAGAGGAGAATGATTCCTCCATAAGAAAATCATCCACAGCATGCCAAACATCTTCCACATCTTCTTCGTACATAAAACGGACAAAAAGATCCAGAAAAAAATCGGTATCGAGGAATAAGATCTGACCATCTCTGAGTGTCTCGGCAAACTCATTGGAAGACCAGAATTCAGGAACGTTATCGAGGAAATTTTCAACGGTTTTTTGGACATTCAGGTCGAGAAGGTAATGAGGCTTTGTGGCAACCACCGCAGGTGATTGCCCGTGTTTTCCACGCCATTCAAGCTCTTCCCAACAAATATCACGATTCGTAAACGCAAACTGAGCCAATCCTTTGGCACCTCTTTTGTGATCAGAACCACCGTCGGTAGCAAAATCAGAAAACCATCGTAGAATTCGCTTTGGATTCCCTACATATTTCAGAATTCAACATGAAAACTCAAATTCCATGGTAATCATGTTAGATTTTCAAAAACAGAAGCATGACAGGATTAAACTGGACTTGCCTTGGAAGAATTTCTCGAGTATGTGACTTCTCTTGGCTAACACAGCCCCGAGTTTCCGTGGCTTCTTCTCGATTATCATCTGAAGGAGTCGAGATACTAACTGCATTTTTCTTGGCTTTGATCTCAATAAGCTCATGAAAATCTTGCGCTGCTGTTTCCGAGCCATAGAAGCACCTGATAAGGTACTACAAAGCCATAATCTAGCTTCTGATCTGCCTCCATGAGCCACCAATGATCGGATTAGAGAACCCAATTCGTTCAAAAGAGGCGTTACCCTATCAATGACACCACTTTTGTGAGCTTTATCCCATTTGGGTTCAGACAAGAACAATCTCACCATCTTGTTTGCTACAGCTACACAGAAATCACCTCCAGAACCCGACAACAAACCGACTGCAAGTGCGCACTCTGCCTGGAATTTCTAGAGAAGAAACAATTAGAACAGAACATAAACTGTGACTTAAAGGGTTCAAGGTACTGAAAATAGATCATCTGAAACTTCAAGATCATTGCAAAACGATGTAAAGATATAAAACACACAGAAAAAGAACAAGAAGCGGTGAAGAACAAACATCAACAGAGACAAAAAAAAAATCAGAACTTTATGCAGAAACAAGATTGCAGAAACAAAACCCTAAATATTTCAACCAGACTAAGACCGAATTAGATATGGGTATAGAGAAAAATAGGAGATTTCAACATAGAGAACGGAAGTATAGACTCCAGATACCTTTTAGCTAAATATATAAATGTATAACGGCTCCAGATACGAAAATCTATCTCAGAAGTAAATTCCTAGGGTTCCTGAAGAAGATGAACAAACACCAATCAAGTCTTCGTCGTCCCGAAATCCGATTTACCGGCCCCGGCGAGAACAATGAAGAGAGAAACTTAGGATTTCGGTTTTTATCAGACGGTGACGGAGTAGGAATTGTGACGCTCAATCGCGGCCGGTTAAAAAGGTTCCCGGTTACGTCCAGCGTTTCACCGGTCCGACCGGATTAGATCGAACGGTTCGGTTAGTATTGAGTTGGAATTGGTGCTGAGTGCACATCCATGTAACAAGCCGGTTCAAATCTGTGCATGTTCTGATATCGAACAAGGGTCGTACCCGATGCCATATTCTTATCTTTCGGGTTTAGGGTTCGAAACTCGTCGTCGTATTATTATTACTACCCACTTAAATTAATACAAAAAAATAAAAAACCTGAGTCTAAATTCTAAATTTATATTTGATGAGTCAACTCCATTTCTGTTCGAAAATAAAAAAAACATAAACCAAATAAAATATCTGAATCAAATTTCGTTTACAAATGATTGGGTGTCGATTCTTTTAAAACAAATTTAATAAAATCTAAACTAATCCCAAATTCAATAAATCTAAACTAATCCCAAATTCAATAAATCTAAAACTTAAATAAATACGATTTTGGTACAAAGAAAATCTCGAACCTAAAAATAATAACTAACTGAGACTGTAGGACCATATCCTCTCCTTGAATGCCACAAATACCATGAGATAATAACAGTTGGCTAAATAAACTGAAAGAAGAAATAAAATTTTAGACCTCGAGCAGATGAAATTCGACCAAAACTCATCTCATTTCCGTTCTGATGAAAAAAAAAAGGGTAAGGAAACTAAGACACCAAAACAGCTTCAAGACCCACATAATCCGAACAACAAAAGGACAAAACTTTCGTCTGTTAAAAGAAAACGGATGAAAGATTGTATGACAAAAACCCTAGCACAAGCAGCTGTAATAACATCCGATGCTCTGTTCACTCATCGTCCTCATCCTCATCATCGTCGTCCCCTGCTCCGCCGGCAGAGTTCAAAGCCTTCAACCTCTCGATCAAACGAGCCTTCCTCTCTTCATACGTGAGTTTCTTTGCGTTAAACCTGTCGGAAAAAAAAAAGATAACGTGATCAATAAACGACAAAACTCTGTTTTTCTGGAGCATTTTTCGATGATTGATTATACCTCTTGTGCTCCTTAGGAGGCTGTTTCTCTGATTTCTTTATCGTTGGGTCGGCACGGATAGCTGCGTGAACCTTCTTGTACAATGCCTCCATGTTGTCTGCCTCAATGCCTCTCTTGATGTACTCACTGAAATGAGACTGGTACTTCTCTGGCTCGTCCTCCATCATGACCTGGGAGTTATAATCCGAAATGGGATTTATCTCTACAGGATTATCCTCATCCAACCGAACTATTCTGGAAAGGTGTTGAATGTTTTACCCTCATGTAATCAGCGACATGAACACCGTAGATGTATTTCCGGTGAACTTCAGCATCAAGCTGTTTGCTCTCCTTGTTGAATCCAGCAAACCTCTTGTCACTGTGGGGAATGTCAAGCCCACCATCCAAAGCACCCTAAAAAAGCAAATGAACGTGTTAAGCCCACAAAGTGAATTCCATAGTATAAAGGCATAATAAGACATTGACTGACATGAGATCTAGCATGTGAGGTCATTGGGATTGAAGCAAAAGTACCTTAAGGGCACCGAAAACACGGTTTCCAGTCGTTGTCCTCACAAGACCAACATCGAGTAGAGCACGGAATGGCCTCCTGGTGTCAGTGGGCTCAACGGAGAAATCCTCTCCTGATGCCTGCACAGAAAATAGAAAAAGTTAGCCGATGATCGAAACAAGGTAAGTTCCGTCACATTACAATTACAAGCAGTAGCATTGTATACAAAAATATGACTGAGTACCTCAACATTGCCCTCGTACTCGGAATCCATCTCAAGCATCTTAAGGACACGACGAGCCAAAAGGAGCCCAGTGCAATAAGCTGGAAAGAAATAACAAGACTTAACATATTCCTCCGATATTGAATAACAAAGGGGAATATCACGGCATAGTGGAAAAGGTACTAATGTTATACCTGCAGCATAATTTGTGAGCCCCACCTCAAGGCCATAGCGGGGTAACTCATGTGCATAAGCGGCTGCAAGAACAATGTCACCAGCGATACTGGCAGACACAATCTGAGCGACTATGTCCTTGTTGGTCTATTATCAACAACAGAGGAAGAGAAACCGAGATCAAGACCATTGAAAAGCACAGATTAAGGCAAAAGGCAACGCTGGACATAAGTTTAAGATTACTTACAAATCTCACGACAAACCGATACTTTGGAGTGTTGTACTTGTTCTTGTCCTGGTTGATGAGGCGGATCCTGGCACGGTAATCAGTCTTACCCGCTGATAAAGTAGAAGAATTACAACCATTAAGTCTCTGCAACGACAAACCAAGGAATAATAGCAATGGAGAAAACATGAAGAAGATAATCTACCGCGCCTTCTCTTGAACTTCACTTGATACCTCTTGAAGTAAGCCCTACTCTTTTGGGCTTTCACGAACGGCTGAAAAAAAAAAGACAAACATCAAAATACGCAGAGAACAGGAAAAACAGAACCAACATCCAGAAAAAGAGCAATCTCTAGAGTTTATAAATCCCCATCTAGAAATAACTAGTCTACTAAGCGACGTCAACCGATTTCCTACTACATACCAATCAAACGCAAACAAGAGACACCCATAAAGCCATGGCAGGAGCCGCTGAAGCATAGGGGTGTCTAAGACTTAGCTACCAATTATGAATCTAGAATCGATTGTAGATCTAAGAATTCAAATCTACTAGAGGTAATGACCGAGTAATCGAAACTGTTAAAGCAGGCAAATGCGAACAACTGAAGGGTAAACGACTACAATTGATCAATTAACCGGATGAAAAGGAGAAAAACAATCAAATCTAGCACACAGACTGATCAAATGACACCCGCAATCCGTATGAAAGCAAACTCGAAGAAAGAATCCAGAACCGAGAAGTAGAGATAGAGAGAGAACGAATCATTACCATGGTTGAAGGATCAGAGAGGCCGCCGAAACAACGTGACAAGTCTGGCGAAGAGGAAGGAGACGAGGAAGCGAATGTTAAAAATACTAAAACCCTAGCGAAGTCTGCTGATGTAAATCAACGGTCACGATTAGTTCTAGGTTTAGATGGAGATGTTAAACTCACGGCTCGGTGACATAACAGCCCGAAAATATATAATAAATGGGGAATACACAAAAATAAATAAATATTAATTTAAAGAAGAAAAAAGACAAAGGGCTACAAATGGCAATAATTTTTATCTTGAATTTTTTCACTTTTTTAGTTTTTGGGTTTTGGGCTTTTAATGTTCTTTGCTTCATTGCATTGACAAAGATGTACACATTAGCTCTGTAAAAATTCAGAGCATTATTTATAAAAAAAATAAAATAAAATTCAGAGCATTGAATTGCATGATTAGTAATACCAAGTTTTAATGTTTTTCACTTCACCACCCACTGCATTACGCATTTGAAGAAAATACAGGACACCCATAGTGTCTATAAACAATCTCTCCTCTCCATAATTTATCAGACCAACATCATCTGTAGGGTTTTTACACAGATAACAGAGAGAGAGAGAGAGAGCTTCCTCTTCAGACAGAGACTCCCACATGCGACAATCAATCAATCAATCAATCTGGCTTACCTGCGGCGAGACTGCTGCTTGCATTTTGCGTCTACATGTTCAAACTCAATTCATATATTCAATGCTTCTTCTCGAATAGTGAATACTAGCTGCTGCCGTTGTCTCCCCACACATTGTCCCATCCACCACTCGGTGCAGCGTCGGCTTTAGGGCCCTCAGGATGATTTTGGTTTCCATTTGGACCGTGCATCTTTCTTGGCTTTGTTTTGACCCCAAGTATCCGTAACACAAATCTCGCTAATTCTCCATATAGCAAACCACCGCGATCAAAAAGCTGCGGGCAATCATTTGAATGGTTTAAGTGAGAAACTACTACTTCTACAGGTAGAGATGATTCAGCTTAGAAGAATCTAAATTAAAGGTTTCAGAAATGGGTAGAAAGGAAAAGGAAAAACCTGAAGAAGGGCAGACATAAACATGTGGAATGCCTGTGTATTTTGGTCTATCAGCATAGCTACACGTCCAAAGAAGTTCACAACGCCTTGCATCTGAAAGCGAAACAGATTAAAAAAAAATGTATGTACGCATATATTATAGTCGTATACAACAATTCTAGATGATTAGAAAATTGTCAATTGGTTACAAAACTATATGTATCCATCAACTTTTACTTTTTGTAGCCAAACCATGCGTCAATTGGAAACCAAGAATATTATGTTTTTACTGTACGACGAGAGAAATAAGATATTTACCACTCGGAGAAACGATATCCAAAATCCCGGTGGAGAGGGCGGTTCACCAAAGGGATTGTTTGGATCTTGACTCCCATAAGGCCCCATGCCCATACCATAACCACCCATAGAACCACCGAATCCACTATTATACATTCCTCCCCCATACACGCTTGAACTTCCATAAAGACCACCATAACCGCCCCCATACATTCCACTCCCGTATGATGAACCATATCCTCCATACCCGCCATACGATGAACCATACATGCCTGAACCGTACCCTGAGTTCAAACCTAGATTTGAACCATAACCTGCATTACACACAACGGAAGTATGATTCAGCTTTTACTCTTCCTAATTACAAAAACGGAAAAACCAAAAAAAAAAAGTTAACATCATCGGGACATGAACATACCCCCATAAGTGCTCGCATAATTCTGTTGCTCCCACGGTCTGGTCGGTACAGGCCTACCAAGAGCGTTTGTATTAGCAACTGTAGCAGTCCTATTTGTGGTGGTAACAATTTCACCAGGTCTGGCTGTGCCAGAAGACTCAACGGCATCAGCCGTGCTGCTGTTTGTAGGAGGTTTGAAAGGCGAAGGACCAGATGCACTCCCTGCTCGTTCCCCAGGTTTAGGAGGGCTGCCACCCGCTGCAACAAATTGAAATTACATATTCAAGAACAAGTGTGAAAAAAATTGTTCTCAAAGAAAGAGTAAAACCCCATCACATGAAAGCAGATTTAGGACACAATAAAATATGAAAACTCCAAATCACTCAACAAAATATGAACACTAGTGCGAAAATTCTTTCGAGTAATTTGAGTTGACACATATGAAAACAGACACAAAAGGAAGACGTCAAAATGCCATCCAGAGAGCAGAGTAAGACGACAGAACCAATAACATGTAAGACAAAGCTATAAACAGATCATAAATACGTGATGGATGACCGGTATACTCAGACGTCAGTACCAGGATAAAACAGCTTATCACCAACACTGATGAAGATTACCACCCAAACAGCTTTTCCAATATAAATTTACAAGGATGCCTAAATCATAAAACAAGGCTTTAAGGAATCGATTGCAAAACTCAACTATCTCCTAGCAAAGATCACGAAAAATGCGCAGCGAAACCCTAAAGGTCTCTGTGCGATGATCGCCTGAACAAAAGGATAAACTCAATTCCAATCTAATTGATTAGAATGGTAATCTACTTCACAAACATAGGAAGAATCGATCGATTTCATAACATGAAAGCAGAAAACTTGAGAGAAACCATGAAAATCACCCAGAATAGCAGAAAGAGAATTCAGTAATTGAAACACAAACAATAATCAAAGCAACGAAAGTAAGATCGCCGAACCTGGTGGCTCAGACGCCATGGCCGAAACACTTCGAGAGCCCTTGTAATCGCCGCCGTCAAGCCAGAGACGCGTAGGAAGGGAGACGAACTTTATCAACGGAGCCCGAGAAGAGAGAAAGATCAAAATCAACAGGTCCAAAAGAAGGGATTTATATAAGGGGTGGGTTAAGTTTTTATTTTAGTTTAATATTTTTATTATAATATTTGTAATTAATATATTATATCATATTTTTAGTTAGATAAATAAAAGTTAAAAACGTTGGAATTAAAATACATGCATTAATTAAATTGTTGGAAGTAGAATATATATATAGAATGACTAATTTAATAGTTTGACTAATTTTAGTTAGATAAATAAAAGATAAAAATGTTGGAATTAAAATATATGCATTAATTAAATTGTTGGAAGTAGAATAGATATAGTTTGACTAATTTAACCGTTAAATTAGTCAAACTATATCTATTCCACTTCCAATAATTTAATTAATGGATGGAAGCAGAATATTATATATATATATATATAACTAATATACTTTTTGAATTACCACTTATCTTTATTTTTGCATTTTAAAAATTATACAAGTTAAGTCGATTTATTATATATATATATGTATTAATTTTTGTTCGGTTTTAAATTAAAAATTGTTAAAGATAAAAATGATAAAAAAAATTTAAACATTGTTATTATTAGAATATTAACATTCTGTTAGAGAGTTAGTTATTTTAATGGCGTTTGTATATAAACAAAACACAAAGCTGATTAATGTAGATTATTCATTTTACCCAAAACTTTCTTTGCTCTTTTTCTCACTTTCTCTCTTGTGCTCTCATATTTCTCTGCATTTTCTCGGCATCTTTGTACCACATTATGAGAGTTAATAGTTATTATGTTAAGTGAGATATTATTAATATTTATTGTTAATATATAGGTTTTGATTATGAATAAAAATATTATTTCAAACTAAAATGATACTCTGTAATTAAAAAAATATGAGTGAAATTTTATAAATTGATTATAAACTTTCAAACCATACAATTTTATTATGATTTCTTTATTTATTTATTTTGTTCTATAATAATATTTTCAATATGAATGACTTTCTACTTTTATGTTATTTCTTTTCGGCCCTAATATTTGCACCTAATTGTCAGATTTTCCTGGGAAACTCCAATTTGAGGCGAAAGACGCAACTATAAAATCGAAAGGGAAAGAAAAAGATAAAGCTGAAAAGGAATAAGATCTTATTACAAAGATTCCACTTTTCGAGCGAACTTGTCGGCGGTCGGATTTTCCCAGCACCCATCCTTCTCGCTCTGTTCCAATCCTGATATAGATTTACTCTGACAATCTCTGCAAATCCTCACGCTTTTGGGTGAAAAAATTATCTATAATTTCGGGGAAAGCAAGTGTCTTTATCACGAGGGCGGGAGTGATTGACGTTAATTAAGGTCCTATCTGGTTAATTATGGCGGCGAGCGCGAATCCATCGGAGGGTAATCGAGGGGGTTCGTCGGCGGTGGCGGCGGCGGCGCAGAAGGTGTCTTCTTCTTCGGCGGCGACGGCGAATGGAGCTGCTGCGGATTCGGCCAATAATGGAGAAAATTCCGGCCGCTCCAGCGGTGGCGCCGCGGCGGCGGATACTTCTCCGACGATCACAGCTTTGAGGCATAATCCAGGAATCTCCGTCGATTGGACTACTGAGGAGCAGGCTCTGTTGGAGGATTTGCTCGCCAAGTATGTCTTCTTGTATCTCCCTGCGTTATACTCATGGACTCGTTGTCTCTTTCCTTTGAATCTTTGGGAAATTTAGTTACTTTCATTCGAATTCGCTGTAGGAATCGAATCTATTTCCTTAAAATTTTATGATGAAAAATGTGGGGATGTTCTTGGTTTAATTGTCTGTGAGAGATCTTATCTCGTGTTCGTGTATAGAAGCAATACTGTAGTCTTTTTTACTGTTTCATCCACTGCATCTGCCAATTCTGGTACATGGTTATCTACATGTTAAACTTAGTGCAAAAGTATCACTTACCCTCAAAATTTATGTGAAGTTTTTTTGCTTTTCAGCTGCTTGCTTGACCCATTTCGAGTTTATTTACTCCCGGATTAGCCATCTGCGTGTAATTTGTGTCATTTGGGTTGTGTATATAAGCAAGAGCGAAATGTGGATCCGTGTTCTTCCTTAGTTATCCTTTTATGTTTTGAAGCATGATACTTTTTAAGCCATAAACTTATAGGATATTTTACGAGGATGAGTGTTCAGATCTGTTCTCGGTTAACCATTGCCTGAAAGTTCTCTATGAGCCTTTTCATATTTTCCCTCACTCTTTGTTAAACCATGTTTCATAGGCACACGTCAGAATCTACCATTCTTCGTTATGCTAAAATAGCGATGCAATTGAAGGATAAAACGGTCAGGGATGTGGCCCTGCGTTGTAGATGGATGACTGTGAGTTTCATAATCCATTATTGTTGAGATTTTCTCTTCTCATTTATATATGTTTTAAGTTTATGCATTGATCGAGTGCCGTTATTGTTAATGTCTCTTTATGTGACTGTTGACTGCATTACAGAAAAAGGAAAACGGAAAGCGTAGGAAAGAGGACCATTCGTCAAGGAAAGGCAAAGATAGAAAGGTGTGTTCTTCCTGCTGCTGCCTGTAATTTGACTCTAAGAAAACTACTAATAATAAAAGAAAACCAGTGTCTAAAAACAGTTGAGATTATGGATCATTGATTTGCTTAGTTGTTTTTTTGTTGGGGCAATATCTTTATGGCCATCACTCTTTGTCACTTTTATCATTCACTTGTGCTTTTGGTTGGATTCGAGTTTTGTTTCTTGGTTTGTCTCGTGATGTATGGAGAAGTTCACGGTAACAAAAACTAAATCTTGCATAATACTGATCGATAGGAAAAAGTTACGGATTCTTCAGCGAAGTCTTCATCTCATTTGAATGTGCATACTAATGGACCTTCTTCGTATGCTCCACCAATGGTGCCCATGGACATTGATGACGGTATTCCGTGCAAAGGTTAGTCTGAGAATCTGCATTTCTTTTCTCTTTTGGTTGATGCTCTCTTATGTTGGAATTAGTGAATCTGCATTCAAGTGTCTTAAACCATCTTTCTTCTTTCAGCTATTGGTGGTGTGACTGGAGAGCTTCTTGAGCAAAATGCTCAGATGTTTAATCAAATTTCAGCAAATTTCTCGGCTTTCCAGGTAAAGTGTCCTTGTTAATTTTATCAATGTGAGGCTTTCTATAATAGCAGATTGCTTGAAAATGGAAATTAACTTATAACTTCTTAAACTTGTGTTAGTAATCTCCAATGATATGCAGTGGTAAGCCTAAGCTATGGCCCCCGTACAATTAAAACATTCCTTAGCGGGTAGAGACCCGTTTTTTTCCTCATTTCCCGCAAATAACTTTCTCGTTTCTTTCCATCTCAGATACATGAAAACATCAGCCTTTTCTGCAAAACTCGAGACAACATTCTCGTGATCTTGAATGAGTAAGTTTCTTTCACCCATTTCTTTGTTGTAGGCCTGGTTACACAGAGTTCATGCTATGCTTTTTTTTTTCATATTGCTTCCCTTTTCCATGACAACACAAACACGACCGGGCAATTGTTTTATCTCTTTTCTGCAGCTTGAGCGACATGCCAGAGGTGATGAAGCAGATGCCCCCTCTTCCGGTGAAGTTGAACGAGGAACTTGGGAATTCAATCCTTCCCTGCCCATCTCATCAAATGAAGTCATGATCGTATAGAAGCTCCTCATCTATGGTTCTCCTGTCCAATTTCTCTAATCCGAGATCAAATCCAATTCAAGCAAAAGAGTGAATAAGTCGCAGGCTATTTACACAAAAGCTCCAATATAATGATCTTAGTTCTGTTCATTGACCCATTTTGTAGGGTGTATTGTCCTCTAGCATGTGAATAGAGAGTCATGTTGTGGTAAGTTCTCTGTATAAAGTTGTTTACACATGGGAAATGTGATTAGGTTGTCTTGTTCTAAGATGCAAGATTCAATAGGACTGATGCCCAAGTCTGTGGCTTTGTAACAAAGTCGGTGCCTTTTGCCTTTCCCTCGGGAGTTTCATGGTAAGTACAAACAGAAAACTTTATTGTAACTCCATTGGCCAAAATAAAAAACTCAAGTCTTGTCATACAGATTGGAGTAGATGACACTACAAAAGATGTCTTGGGTGTATTAAAAAAAAAAAAAAAAAAAAAAAAACTCAAAAGGCGAGTTTTCCAAGTTTTCTGATTTGAGAAATGCCAATCATCTTTGGTTGGTCTCGAGAGGTTTGCCAAATCTCACTCTGAATCTGTGAGAAAAGTGGAGTCTGGATCGATCCAAGCTTGGGAGATTTCCAATCCCTAATTTTCAATCTGCAAGCAGGAAACTGGTGATCAGAAGTTTTCACAGTAGAGAGTTAGAAGGAGAAACGCCTGCACACAAGATGTATGTATGTACACGATTGTGATATTCCCTTTACATGCTCTTATCGAATATCCGAGTTAAGACACAAAGGATCAAACAAGCCAACAGACCCAACTAACAAGAGTGATGAATTTGCAACCGTAAGTGATTACATTCTCTTGCTAACAATAACTTTCCTAATAATCTTCTTGTCCTATGAAGGTCCAAACCATTCAACCCGAGAGGAGTTCTAGCAGATGAACAATAAACAGCCAAGCTCTAGGGACAATTCAAGTTATTTTTCATCGTGCCAACCAAAGACTTCGCTAATCCGACGAGTTAAACTATAACTTCAGTGTCTCCTCTCAGGGAAATCTTCTTTCTAAATGCCGCACAAGTGAATGGACATGTGGTTTCAACTTTCAAGCTATGGCATCTCATTGAAGGTATCCATTCAAGCTGGGCTCTCTCATGTTTAGTCTACTAGACACTGCAGACGACAAAACATTGCCCACTTCTCAAAATGTTATGCAAACAAAGGGTTTGATCTTTGAATCAGAACCCGCACCCAAAATTGCTCAACAAAGCCCTATATTCCTTGCATTTAAATGATTCAACACAGCAAACAAAAGTCGAGAATTTTCAACAGGCAATGCGATATGGTTTCGGAAATGCCTTTCGAACCCAATACACACCGAACAGCTTCTAAAATTTCCATTTCACAATAATAGTATCGCTTACAAGATAATACCACTTACAAATCACAGATAGGTAGAGAGAGAGAGATGACCTGAGTAGGGTTCGAATTAGGGTTCTCAACAGTTGGAGACTCGAGGCCTGAAACTCTAGCTTCCAGAGCATTGAATTTCTCCTTCATCTGCAGTATTTGAACATCAAACCGAGAAATCAAACAAATTCCTTCATGATCCTCGAGCGAGAAAAAGGAAAAATAAAACATAGAATTACATCAGAAGAGATGGAGTATCGGTCGGCATAGAGATCACGCCAAATGAGATGAGCGATCGAAGCTCCGGTGACGGAGAATCCCAGTGTGAACCAGAGAAGCCGAGTCCTCAACATTTTCCTCTTCCGCTCTTTGCGATTCGCCTCCCCGAGCAAAAAATGTATTTCGAGAAGCTATAATACGCCGTCGTTTCAGATAACGTTTGGGCTTTGGGCTCTCTTTGAAATATGGGCCATTCTATCGGCCCATTAAAGTCTTAGAAGGTAATTTCTTTTTTCCTTTTTTTATAAACGAATTAGCTGATTTCACAAGAGCAACAACACATCAGTCCAAGCAGATTTTTGTCTGTTGGTAGGCATTTCAAATAACATTGAAAGGGAAAATTTAGTTCACATCGATTAGAATATCATAGAAAGTTGATGCATTTTGTTCATGTAAACTAAGAAAATAATGATACGTTTGCGCGCGCTTAAAAAAACAATTTTTTTTGTATTTCATAAATTTATATTATATTATTCTATACATTCAAAAAAAAAATTAAAATTCGTTAAATTCACCACCACCAAGACCGATGTGTGTAAACCCGCTGTAATAAGCCATTTAAATTCTCTCTCTAGAAAGAAAAAAAAACTCTCTATGATAAAAAAAAATCTCTGCGAAATTCGATTTTTAAATTTCAAGAAAAATATTATTATCACCTTAGACTGTACTATTCTTTATTTACGCTTTTTTTGGTCATCCCGCTTCTCGGCTCTCTCTCCGATGATTGGTTCTCTGTCGTCACCGGAGAATACTGCAATGGGATGATTTTGCAGTTCCCAAGGCAGGCCTCCTCCGCCGCTACATTCTCCCGCCGGCGGTGACTTCGACCTAACGTTCAGGTCTCCGATCCGATCCATCCTCTTCGTCTTCTCGGAGCCGTACGAATCCGTCGCCTGTTCTCCACGATTACAGCGGCGGACGATGGCAAATTCGACTCTTCTGTTGGTCCAAGTGAATACAACCTCATAGAATGATCAACAGAGGTTATATAACTTACATCGGTTAGACAAGGTTTATCCTTTCCCACCAGTTGCAAAAGTATCCCTATTTTAAGGGACCTCCACATTTTGAATTATTCATTTTATTTCATATTCTTTAAAAAGGCGTTATCACCATTTGCCACTTGTTTCCATCAAAGCCAGTTGCAAAATAGGTCTAAGGAAACCATAAAAGAAAAACCCAATGTAAATGCTTGAACAAGACCAGTCTGGGACGACAAAAGGGTCATAATGTCACATTGCCTGTGCCTGAGACCTACTTACCAGAAAATGGATCCCTTCCACAAAGAAGATCGACGGGAAAAGTGCGTTCAATGGTTAGAACTTGTCGTCCTCGGAGTCAGCAATCCACGCCTGAGTTCGCTTCTGTAGTCTGTCGGTGGAGGTCCGGTGTTGTTTGCTGAAGCCATGATCTGATCATTTTTTTTTTCGTTTTTCGTCAGGCAAAACAGAGAAGAAGGGGGGAAAGAGAGTGAGTCCCGTTTTTCACCTTATGAGGCAGTCTTCCCCAAACGTCACCGCCGTAGTACATGATCGGTCTCTCTGGAAAAAAAAACACGCAATTGTGTAACCAAATTTCTGGATCACGAAAAATCCTCATGTTGAATCAAGGTCAGGATATTGGCATATGATCGTTTTCAGAGACAAACATTTGAGTAAGTTCAACAAGGCACAGCCCGAGCAACACATAAAGAAAAGGGATAAATTTTGGATGTGCTTTAGACTCACCGGATAAATCCACTGTAGGATTATTGTAGAGATTCATTGCAGCTTCCCATCCTGCGATTACAGATTAAAGGGCACTTGTAAAACAGATGCGTACATACATACGCACGGTCTCATTCCGTGTATCTGCTAATCTCGACCATAGTTCATGCAGGGAGTGACGAGACAGTGACAAATGAACAAAAAACTAGTACAAAAGTTTAGATACATACGTTCGCTCAGTAGCTGATAGGCTTCACTCCTATGACACCCTTCTACAGATATAATCCTCCGGGCAGAATTCGAATTCGACACTGAATCCCCATGATCTCTTACGGCAACGTTCCTCGTGGCTGGAACTTGGATCCTCTCGCCTTCATTCCCTTGGGAGCTGCTACTTCTCTCCAATCGATCTGCAAAGTTTTCGCCCCATAATTATCCCAGAAAACGTTTGTCATCTTTAACATTATCATGACAGCCAAAATTGGCTATTGCTTCACGTAATTCTACGTAGCAGAATATCTCAACTCGTTTTTTTTTATATGAAATCAAGCGAAATGGGCTTTTGTTGGAGGGCTTTGCTTGGAAAAAACGCAGTAAGATCATACGAAAATTTGACTTTCCGGCTGATAGAATATCATTTTCTTCCTAAAAAGATCTTGAGCTTACCAACTACCGTATTAATCACCTGCTTACAGGTTCGCATGGTGGCGACTGTACTAGAGTATCTACACTAATGCATCACTCAACTAATCACAGTTCTTATTCCTCTATTTTCGCTAATCCAAGCTCAAAACCAGAGAAATAGATATTCTCGATCCCAAGAATTCATCACCATTTCTCCAGCTGAAGCAAGGAAATCCGCAAAACAAACGAAAGCCAAATCAAGAAGAGAGAGTGAGATCCACGGACCTCCCGATTTCTTGCGATTCACAGAACGGTTCCTGTGATCCAAAGAAACGAAACAGACAAAAATAATCGAGCACGAAATCGCGAGATCAACACAGAGAAGACCACACGAAAGCAAAAGAAGAGATGGAGAGATAGAGAGAGAGAAAGGAAGAAGAAGAGAAGTTACCTCTGGTTAGGGGGGGTGTACCGCTTCGGTGCCGAGCTCGAATCCGCCATGGACGACGAGCTAGGGTTCTTCGTCGTCTCCCCCCAACCCAAGAACGATCCCCTCCCGCGGAGATCTGTCAACTCTCTGTCTACAAAGCACGTAGAAAAATGAGGGGGCGTCGTATATCTTGACGCGCGGCTCTTGTGGCGCGTGCTAGTCAAGCGCTCTCGCGCTCTGTGTCAGTCTCTCTTATTACACCTTTCCGTATTTTTCGTTACTTGTCCAATATTTTAAATAAATTAAATTTGATCCTCATATTTATATGATGTCAATTTCGCCCCCAAATTCCAACCGTTGAACCAAAAAATTGAAATTGAAAATGAAAAATTGCATGCCTTGACTTGAAAATCTAGAAAGTAAACCAATTTTAAACTAACAAAAGATTTGGTAAACACTTCTCCTCCGGCTTTTAGTTTTCAAAAGATTTGGCTCAAATTATAAACTTGCAGCTTTTCCTTTATATTTGACAAATTTTAAATAGACAATCACAAAATTGTTTCGATCCGTTTATTCGTTTAGAAACTGAACCAAATCAATTCAAAACGGAATTAATACGGTTTTTCAACTCGGTTTGGTTGTCTAACCGAACTACAGTCAAAACTGAAAACAACTTGAGCAAAGGGCGCAAAAACCATACATCCCCTGCAAAAAAAAAAAACAAACTCTTAAATCCTCTAATTCATTCGGAAGCTTTTATTTATCCAATCTGATTCGACATAAGGATTTTCTTTTTCGATTACGGCGAATGTGACAAAAAAAATGCAGGACTACTCGGCGGGCAATGTGCCACGTGGAATTAGAATCCAACGTGGCAGATAATCAGGCAAATGAACAAAATCTCTTATCCAACAATGGTGCCACGTGGACGTATCCTGTTGGCGAATCAGATACTAACCTAATCTGAGCAAACTATTTCAAGCCCACAAGTAAATTAAGTGGCCCTTGTTCCCCTGTTTGAATATCAAAATTCATCTTCCTCGCCGGAAAACGATCACTTGCTTTCCATTAACGAAGGAACTGAAACAATGGCGACACAAGCACTCGTGTCTTCTTCACTCAGCTCTTCTGTAGAGACAGCGAGACATATTCTTGGCGCGAGAACGACCACGGTCGTGGCTCCGAAGAGGGGTTCTTTTGTTGTTAGGGCTTCTTCCTCAACTCCTCCTGTCAAGGTATGTGTATATATACGTATGTATATATCCATTTCAAGCAATGTATCTGTGTGTGTGTGTGGATCTGAGAATCTGATCACGGATTTTGTGCTTTGGAACTCAGCAAGGAGCAGACAGACAATTGTGGTTTGCTTCGAAGCAATCTCTTTCTTACTTGGATGGGAGGTAAAACTTTTTTGTTTTTAATCAACATAGCTAATTGCAACAGATGATGATTCCCAACCAAAATCAAATTTTATGATCAAAACACGTTAAGATTTGTGGTTATGATTACGTGGCAGCTTACCTGGCGACTACGGTTTCGACCCGCTTGGTCTGTCGGACCCAGAAGGCACGGGAGGGTTCATCGAGCCGAGATGGTTAGCCTATGGAGAGATCATCAATGGAAGGTTCGCCATGTTGGGAGCAGCAGGAGCAATAGCACCAGAGATACTGGGTAAGGCCGGTCTGATCCCTCAAGAGACGGCTCTTCCCTGGTTCCAAACCGGTGTCATCCCGCCTGCAGGAACCTACAGCTACTGGGCCGACCCTTACACGCTCTTTGTCCTCGAGATGGCTCTTATGGGATTTGCTGAGCACAGGAGGTTCCAGGACTGGGCCAAGCCAGGGTCCATGGGGAAACAATACTTCTTAGGGTTGGAGAAGGGTTTGGGTGGGTCCGGTAACCCGGCTTACCCCGGAGGACCCTTCTTTAACCCTCTAGGGTTTGGGAAAGACGAGAAGTCGATGAAGGATTTGAAGCTGAAAGAGGTCAAGAATGGTAGATTGGCTATGCTGGCCATCTTGGGTTACTTTGTGCAGGGGTTAGTGACCGGTGTCGGACCTTACCAGAACCTTCTTGATCACTTGGCGGATCCCGTCAACAACAACATCTTGACCAGCCTCAAGTTCCACTGAACTCAGATGATCTGGATGTCCCTCCCTTCTTGTCTCCTGCAATGTTCTTTTCTTGGTCCCATTTGTAACATGCCTGTGTAAACATGTAATCATGTTTTTGTAAGAAATGACAATTGTTATTGGCTACTCGTTAAGATTGTGATTGAACTCTTACCTGTGATGCTGTGATGATGATCATTGCAGTAGAACAAGAAATGACAACATTTTCATAACTTCTCAGACGCTGAAGCCAAATGCTGAAGCAAGCAATGGGCAAAGAACTTATGGTGAATATAAGCTCGTGCTTTTATAACAACAAAAATAGGGGGGAAGGACCCAACATGCAATAATCGCAGAACATATAATCGAAATTGCATAATGAATCATCTTTAAGAAGAAAATTCGAAAAATGAATTCTAAAGAATGTGGAACTCATGCTAAATCAGGGAAAATGGTTGAAAACCTTTTTGTGATCTAAATGCCCTCTCTTTAAGGATTAAAGCATAGTCTTGATCTCTAAGCAGTTTGAGTTACTTGTTCATCTGATTCTTCCAGCCTGCAAAACACAAGTGTTTCATATGCCATTAACGTTCATGTCCAGGACTTGGAATATACAGCATGGTATAGTCATTACTATATTACCTCTGAATTCCTTCCCCGGCCTCGACTCTTAGAAAATTCCCAACCTTCACAGGGGAACCCACCTCCTTGGACAAATTATCAAGAAGTGTCTGGAACAGAACAGAAACTTAGAAATGAAGCCCTTGCGTTTCAAAAGATTCAGCAACCGATGACAGACAAGATTGTGAATAACCGATTTATGTGCTATAAGGAATATACGGACCTTTACATTCAAAGTATCATTCACAATAAACTTTTGCTCTGTAAGAACTACTTCTTCAAAGTATTTACGTAGACGGCCTTCCACCATCTTCTCCACAGCCATCTGAGACTTGGCTGTACTTTCAGCCTATCATACAGACAAATTTAAACTCGTCTTGTTCCAGAACTCGAAAAATCTGCCAATTTTAGTACACACACAAAGGGATATATGTCAATCAAGTGACAAATACCTGAGACTTGAGAACCTCACGTTCATTTGCCAGTGCTTCTGAAGAAACATGGTCCTTAGTCAAAAATAGGGGTTTTGCAGCTACGATATGCATAGCCAGTTCAGAGCCTATACGGTGGACAGCATCTAGTTGAGCATTCTCATCCCCTATTTGTAGAGCTACAACCCCAGCTATTCGACCCAACCCTGTGTATTTTAATCAAAACGGTTAGAGCCTTAGAGGAAGCATGGAAAGGTATAGCAGGTGAATTATTTGTACCCGGTTGGGGGCTTGTGTGGAGATATGTCGAAAGAACACCAGGTGATGCTTTTGACAACAAGAAACCTCTCCTGAATTTTACACTCTCCCCCATTATAGCAGCTTCTTCAGTGACTGCATTTGAGACGGTTGTTTCACCACTCACTTTAGGATGATTTAGATTCAGCTTGAAGTCCTGAATGGCATCGATCAAAATGATTCATTTAAAACCTGAAAATCACATTATCAGATAGTGGTCAGTAAAAACACAAAGAAGGGCAACTCATTTTTGTCGAGAATTTAGCAATCTGAATCAAGGAAGATCAAGGCAAGGCACAACAGAGAAGTACATCAAACAAGTGAGCAACTGACCTCAAAAAACTTGGGTCCAAAAGTTAAGACGCCAGAAAATTTCTGGGAATTATTTTCAACCAGCAAAGCATGCTTTGCCAGAGCTAGGGCCTGCAAAGCAACGTCAATGTTAAGAAGAAAAAATTACAAAATATGATCCATCGTGGCGATATCTCTAAGCAAGTGTTCGCAAATACAACAAAGATTGTATCAACTATCAACTAACCAAGTATTGGAAAATCTCGTTTCTAGCAACAAAGTCTGTCTCACAATTGAGTTCGATAACGGCAGCTTTCCCCTCATCTTGAGCAAGAGCAAGCAATCACTCGGCAGCAGTTCGTGATGACTTTTACGAAGCCAATACCTTTCCTCTCTTTCTCAAATCCTTCTAAGCAGCCTCTGCCATGGCCACGACACAGTTCCAACAGTGGGCAAGAAACCGAAAAATGAATGCATCATGACTCCAATCGATTCTTACCAATATCCCAATTGCATTCAACGAGAGAAGCCTTGACATCCTTGATCGGAGCACTTGTTATTTCCCTCAGTTGCTTGATGAGGTTCATCTTCTCTGCTGCAGCAGGAGCTTCGGAACTAAAACCCCGGGAAAATCTCCCGAAAACACGACTCGGGTTAGGGTATCTAGACAAAACAGAGCTCATGTATTGAGACAAAACTTCCACTTTGCTTGCCACAGTAGAGTACTCATTTCCAGAACTAAATCTAACGGTAGCACTATAAAAGAAGATCCCCACTACAGCTCTGGAAAACGCCATTTCCGCAATGCCCTCGATTCAAATTCGACCTAAAAAGCGAAAAACCTCAAAGTAAAATCAAATTGAATCAGAAAAGCAAAATCTACCACATGCGCAAGGTTTTTAGGAAGGGTTCTCCATAGAACACGAATCTCAAGAACAACCCCGAGGAAGAACTAGCGAGACTTACCAGAAAACGATCCCAACGAACAGGAGCTCAGAAATAATACAAGAACAGAGCAGCTAAATCGCGTTTGATCTGGCTCCAACGTCTAAAACCCCTGGTTCTCCCGAACGCTATGGCGTCATTTTACGAGGGGAGAACAAACGACACCGTTTTAGTGCCACCTGACGGTTTCATAAGCCCAAGATGACCAGCCCAACAAACAATGGCCCGTGTTGATTGTAACGGCAAGATAACGGCTCAAGGAAACGGCAGTTAACTGTTTATAAAACGCAGGAGGGACGTTAATATTGGTGTACTTGCGTCGCAGAGGATAAATCCTGAGATTCCTGATCTGCGTTTTCTCATTCGTTTTGCTGTGCGTTTTTACGGACACAGAGTGCGAGAGCGAGAAGAAGAAGAAGAAGAAGAACGAGAGAGGAAGGAGACAGTTCAAGCCAGAGAAGAACAGGTGAAAATCTTCGCTTTTGCATTTCTCGCCCGTTTCATAGCTACATCAGGCTTGATTCGTCTGGATCTGGATCGAACGGGCTCATTTCGACCCGGAAAAGTGAAGTCAGGTTTCATCTTTTTCTCTGCATTTTTTAATCTGCGTGAACTTTTTTTGTGGACATGCATGGAATTAGGTATGCTTATGCCTCAGTGAGATCTCGAATTCTGTTTTCTGGTTTTGATTTTGGCTTCGTGATCGAGTTGATTGGTCAGTTTTCTTTTTAGATCTGTCGGCACTGTTAGATCCTTTGTTCGACATCCGCTTCTTGTTGGTTTCTTAGATCCTTTATCTGGTGCTTTGTTTTGGTGCCCTGTGATCTATGATTGATGGTCTTGAGCTTTGAGTGTTCTGGGTTGCGATCTGTGACTATCGCCGTATTGATATGCGCTTATTAAACTTATCACTTTTTTACGTTTAAGAAATTCGAAAACGAAGATAGCATCAGTTGATCGATTGATGCTGTTGGTATCTCACAATCTACCATCCATTGTCTCTGTGGATAAGTTTGGTAGAACAAAAATTTTCCATGTTCCAGTAGACTCAATTCATTTTAGGTAAAATTAGGGCATAAAAGATGTTGACAGACAGTATCCGTTTTGCTGTAGATCTCGTGTTGGATGCTTCTGTTGCAGTAGCTTAGACTGAGGTTTGTCGCTGGGATCTGGGATCTGGAATTTGGGATGGAAGTTCCATTGGTCACAAGGAGGAGAACGATGGGGTTGTGTCACCTTTTCCTTTCTATGGTTCTGTTTGCTCAGCTTTGTAATGGGTTCTACCTACCGGGAAGCTACATGCACAGTTATTCGAAGGGTGAACACATATTTGCTAAAGTCAATTCCTTGACCTCCATTGAGACTGAGCTTCCTTTTAGCTACTACAGCCTTCCTTACTGCCAACCTCCTGGGGGGATAAAAAAGAGTGCTGAAAATCTCGGGGAGCTCCTGATGGGCGATCAGATTGATAATTCTCCATACCGGTTCCAAATGAATGTGAATGAATCTGTTTACCTCTGCACCACAAGTCCATTGAACGAAAATGAGGTAAAGTTGCTAAAACAAAGAACTCGTGAGTTGTACCAGGTCAATATGATTCTGGACAATTTGCCAGCATTGAGATATGCGAAACAGAATGGGATCAATATCCAGTGGACAGGGTTCCCTGTTGGCTATACACCCCCAAATAGCAACGATGATTACATTATCAACCACCTAAAGTTCAAGGTATTGGTTCATGAGTATGAGGGTAGCGGGGTGGAGGTAATTGGTACCGGAGAAGAGGGCATGGGTGTGATTACTGAATCTGATAAAAAGAAGGCATCTGGGTATGAGATAGTTGGTTTTGAAGTTGTGCCATGCAGTGTTAAGTATGATCCTGAAAAGATGAAAAAGCTCCATATTTATGATCATGTTCTACCCGTGGACTGCCCTTTGGATCTTGACAAATCTCAAATGATAAGAGAGCAGGAGATGATCTCCTTCACATACGAGGTTGAATTTGTGAAAAGTGACACCAGATGGCCTTCGAGATGGGATGCATATTTGAAGATGGAAGGTGCTCGAGTTCACTGGTTTTCAATCCTCAACTCTCTGATGGTGATAACTTTCCTAGCCGGTATAGTCTTTGTCATATTCCTCAGGACGGTGAGAAGGGATTTGACAAGGTATGAGGAATTGGACAAAGAATCACAAGCGCAGATGAATGAGGAGCTCTCGGGTTGGAAGCTCGTCGTTGGTGATGTCTTCAGGGAACCGGAATGCTCGAAGCTTCTATGTGTGATGGTGGGGAATGGGGTTCAGATCACGGGAATGGGAGTCGTCACGATAGTCTTTGCGGCCCTCGGTTTCATGTCACCGGCTTCACGAGGAATGCTACTTACCGGTATGATAATACTCTATCTCTTTCTGGGTATAGCTGCTGGTTATATCGGTGTACGCATGTGGAGGACCATCAAGGGAACTTCTGAAGGCTGGAGATCTCTCTCATGGTCTATCTCTTGCTTCTTCCCGGGAATCGCTTTCGTTATCCTCACAGTGCTGAACTTCCTTCTCTGGAGCAATAAGAGCACTGGAGCCATCCCGATCTCATTATACTTCAAACTCTTTGCCCTCTGGTTCTGCATTTCAGTACCCCTCACTCTCTTCGGGGGCTTATTCGGGACACGAGCCGAGCCAATCCAGTACCCAGTCAGGACCAACCAAATCCCGAGGGAGATTCCGGCTGGTAAATATCCATCATGGGTTCTTGTCCTCGGGGCAGGAACACTCCCGTTCGGAACCCTTTTCATAGAGCTCTTCTTCATCCTCTCCAGCATCTGGTTAGGAAGATTCTATTACGTTTTCGGGTTCTTGCTCATCGTTCTTCTCCTCCTGGTTATCGTCTGTGCTGAAGTATCGGTCGTGCTAACTTACATGAACCTCTGTGTCGAAGACTGGAAATGGTGGTGGAAAGCCTTCTTCGCCTCGGGCTCGGTCTCTGTATACGTCTTCGCCTACTCCATCAACTACTTAGTGTTCGACCTCCAGAGCCTGAGCGGACCCGTTTCGGCCATGCTGTATCTCGGATACTCGCTTCTAATGTCAGTAGCAATCATGCTCTCGACCGGTACGATCGGTTTCCTAACGTCGTTCTACTTCGTTCATTACCTCTTCTCGTCGGTGAAGATCGATTGAAACAGCCGAGGAAAATGCTTCAGGTAATGGTTGGTTTGGTGACGTCCTTTTTTATGGTTTGGTGTCTTGAGAGTGGAAGAGTTTTGTCACTTAAGTTCGGGATCTATTATCCGTCTCTCTGTTTGTTTGTTTGTTTGTTTACAGGAAATACAAATCATAATCTTTTTTTTATGGTAATGAATGAAATTCCTTGTTTTGTTTGGTTCGTGTTTGTGATAAAAAATCGTATATATATATATATTTTAATAAACAAAAATAAGATGACAAAAAACTTTCTTCCTTGGGTTCACCGCACCAGGGCTATGCAAAATTCGGTTATAGAACGAATTCGGATTCGACAAAAGCGAGAGAATCTATCTTTAGATTCGGATTTGCATGTTAGATACAAAAATCCATCTAAAAAACCCAAACAATTTACAAACGAAACGACCATGGGATTCCAAACTCTAAAACCCTAAAAAATTAATTCAAAATTAAATTTCTCAAAATTTAGGATATCTTACAAATAACTACTATTCTATTCACATCTTGGGCGCTCCCTTTCAATTAATATTTTAATTATTAAAAAAAATCAATAAGTGTGTCCAGTTAAAGTCATGTTCGTGAATATGAAAAGCAGGGCACATGTCAAAACTAGCCGTTGGGCGTTTGCCATTATTTTCGAAATAGGCGCTCCTTCCTCTTCTTCTTCCTCATCTCTCTCTCTCTCTCTCTCTCTCTCTCTCACGCACACAAGGGTATTGGACCGGTGATAGAAAACGCTAGCTCCAATTAGAAGATGTTCACCGAAGGGCTTGACGAGAACGCCATAAACTGGATCAAGAAGGGATCTTTAAATCCAGATCACGAGCAAATTCAAATTCAGCCTCGCGTCAGATCCCCTCTCGCCGAGAATCTCTCTCCGGGTGCGTTTCCTCGATCTCCTCTTCCCCTCACTTCCACTGGAAACTTCGCTTCTCCACACGGTTTGCCTCCATTGAAGTTCCACGGTCTCTTGGCACCTCACATGCTCGTCTCTCCATGCATCCGTGATGGTGAAAACGACGAAGACGAGGATGAGAGCGTTGCATCGGTTTCTGATGTCGGGGACGGCGGAGATTTGTCTGACTATGACATGGACGTAGATGATGATGACGATGACGAGGAGGAGGAGATGATGATGGTCGGGAGACGTTATGATGAAGGGGAAGTATTCGGGTATGGGTCGACCTCGAAGTTGAACAGAGGGATATTGAAGGATCAGAATTTGAGAATTGAAATCCCAAATGGGAACCGAAGAGTCACTGACGGGTTGGCTTATATGCAGATACTAGCAATAATGATCATATTAATTTGCATTAAATATATGTCAACTTTCAAATCCAGAACAATGCATTTATGGATGCTAACTTGTTCCAGACATTAGTTTTCTTGTTTGTCAAGTAAAGAAAATCTTACACAGATGCGCACTTTCAGTTTCCCGGAGTCTGAAGGAGATGCTCTTCTAATAGAGGTTCAAGATAAGAAGAAATCAGTGCAAGGAAAAGCAATAATTCCTGTTTCATCCTTGACTGACAATCTGGTAAAATAAATTTGTGTTAATTATCTTATTTTACTTCTTGGGATATCTTATAGTGTTTTTTTACTAGAATATATTGAACAAGACTGCAATTTTCCAGAATGAAAATGTTAGTTGGTGGCCAATAAGCCACGGTGAACAAGAATGTGTGGGGAAGATTCAACTCTTTATCGGCAACACAGCCGCATCTGATGATGATCATCATATAAAGGTATGTTTTTTCACCACCGACACTCGGAACATTAAAACTTACCACGTATTTCTTTCTTGATCATAAGCCAGAGTATTGTGGATAGATATACTTTCTAATTATCATTAAGAACTTTGTTTATCATAAAACCGATACAAAACTTTGTTATGTGAAGAAATCCCTCTATCATGTTTTGCTATCTGATCGTTACAGAGTGCACCAGTTGTGGAAACTCTAGCATATGATTTGCTTCTCGATGCTGCTATCCGTGCCCAAAACTTTCATTCTCGAAACATGAGGTTGAACGGACCTTGGAAATGGTTGCTGCTGAACGATCCCATACGCTGAATTCTCGGGTATGTTTCACCATCTTACTACCAATATAATGGCTTTGAATGATTTTTCTTGATTTTAGTGATGATTCCGTCTCGGGGTTCGAGTAGGATTCTTCCTCTTATGGGAACGTAGAAGATATGGGAACTCCGAGTGCGCCGCCAATTATGGAAATCGGACAAGAAGATAGAGAATTGGGAATGGATAACGAAGCAGAGCCGAGTGAAGGTGGAATTTGCCGACAAGCAGAACTTGAGAATCATCACAGAAACATAGGAGGTGTAGCTGGTGATAGCAGTTCACATATGTATCCAGATGTAGAACTCGAAGAAAGGTACTTCAACACTTAACCTGCTTATCCACGAGCTTTCTTTTTTGTTTTTTTGTTTTTAATGTTGTCTTGATGTTTCCATTGATTTGATACAGTATGAAGAATAATGCTAGAACCAGAGAAGATGCTCAAATCCCTTACTGGCAAATAAGCTCGGACAAGTTAGGTTGTCATAGCATAAGGTAGCAATAACTTTCCTCTGGGTACTGATCTTTACAATTTGAAATGGGGTTGAATTTTGTGACATACCGTTTTTGATCTTGTAATTGTAGTGGTCAATATGCGTGGCAAAGTCTTGTAGCATACGATGCTTGCATAAGGCTATGCTTGTATGCATGGTCCAAGGGTTCTCCTGAGGCACCCGAGTTTCTGCGGGATGAATGTCTTCTTCTCCGAAGTGCCTTTGGGTAGGACTTGTATTTGTTCTCTTGTTTCTGTGATGTTACCCGCGTGTCTCGATGAGTTTCCAACCAGTGTTGTATGTATGTATTTAATAGATTACATAAGTTCCTCTTGCAACCTCGGGGTGTAAGACTCACTGAAGAAACCACAAATATGAAAACAGAACAAAAGCCCTCCCTGAAGACAAAGAATGTGGTCAGAAAAATAAGGGTGGAAGGTAACGTTTTTCTTTTCCAAATGAACTTGAAACCTTGTATATCTCTGAATGACAAAAGGAAGAGGTAAATGTTTTGGTATTGTGATATATTATCTGTTAAAATTGTTTATATTATCCCCTAGCTTTCTGATGTGAATAAGATATTCATGCCACTGATGTTTTATTTTTGTTTCAGTAAAGAGGATTCGGTTGATACCTCAGCGCAAGCTAAGGAGCTCAAATTCTCTACGAAGTATGATGCAAATGCAAATGGGGGCAGATTATGTCAGACAAGTTTCATCTCTTGTGAAGACTGGGATGAATTCTCTTAAACAGGCTACCCTTTCTGCAGTTTCAGAAGGTTTGCTTTGTTACCTGAGAAACATATTGGTTTCAAAGAACTAGTTTATATATTTGCCGGCGAAATGTGATTTTAGTCATCCTGAAAACAGCAATTACCGTATAGATACGCAAACTTTTCCCGGTTGCACAGGGTTTTACTGAATGGCAGATAGACTAGCTTGCTCAATCCTAGTTTGGTATGACACAATGAATTCTTTTGACTTTATGTGCAGAGCAATTTTCATGCTTCCTTCAATTGAAAAGTATAACAGAAGGTGGTCAGATTGAAGAAGATTCTGCTGTTTGTTTGCAACCGGGAACTGGTGATTACCATGTCTTGTAAGTTGCCATCTGTCTCTCGAACAATAAACTTATGGATAAGAGAGCACTGCCAGACTTGGGATAGATTTTAACCTCAAATGTCTGCGGTGAAGTGGTCTAAAAGACTTTGAATTTACCTATAACCCACAACATTGGCTCATATTGGAATTTAAAGTGCCAAAATGTTGGCTTATATGCAGATACTAGCAATAATGATCATATTAATTTGCATTAAATATATGTCAACTTTCAAATCCAGAACAATGCATTTATGGATGCTAACTTGTTCCAGACATTAGTTTTCTTGTTTGTCAAGTAAAGAAAATCTTACACAGATGCGCACTTTCAGTTTCCCGGAGTCTGAAGGAGATGCTCTTCTAATAGAGGTTCAAGATAAGAAGAAATCAGTGCAAGGAAAAGCAATAATTCCTGTTTCATCCTTGACTGACAATCTGGTAAAATAAATTTGTGTTAATTATCTTATTTTACTTCTTGGGATATCTTATAGTGTTTTTTTACTAGAATATATTGAACAAGACTGCAATTTTCCAGAATGAAAATGTTAGTTGGTGGCCAATAAGCCACGGTGAACAAGAATGTGTGGGGAAGATTCAACTCTTTATCGGCAACACAGCCGCATCTGATGATGATCATCATATAAAGGTATGTTTTTTCACCACCGACACTCGGAACATTAAAACTTACCACGTATTTCTTTCTTGATCATAAGCCAGAGTATTGTGGATAGATATACTTTCTAATTATCATTAAGAACTTTGTTTATCATAAAACCGATACAAAACTTTGTTATGTGAAGAAATCCCTCTATCATGTTTTGCTATCTGATCGTTACAGAGTGCACCAGTTGTGGAAACTCTAGCATATGATTTGCTTCTCGATGCTGCTATCCGTGCCCAAAACTTTCATTCTCGAAACATGAGGTTGAACGGACCTTGGAAATGGTTGTTAAGTGAATTTGCAGATTACTATGGAGTTTCTGATTCATATACCAAGTTGAGGTACTTATTTCTTTTGGAACTCATGTAACCTTGCCATAAATTTCTTTTCCTCCTGAGATTATGTGTTTTCTCTTGTGAAATTCCTTTGATTTCTCGGATCTTTTAGCTCAAATATAACAACACAACCTTTGCAGGTATCTTTCACATGTAATGAATATGGCAACTCCCACAAAAACCTGTTTGCAGCTTGTGCATGAGCTACTTGTGCCCATATTAAAGGCTCGGAGTGAGAGAAATTTAACCAGACAGGAGGTAATTCCCCATCTTTTGCAACTTTGAAGCTGTGGTTGAATCTAATGCTACCTCTCCATAATCCAAGAAACTGTTGGAAACGTTTTTTTTTTTTACCTTCAGTTTGTGGAAATTCAATCTTAAATCCGTTCATATTATCCTCGTGCCTATATATTTGCCGAGAATTGTTTCTCTCAAGTTTTCTTTATCCTAGAGAATGTTTTCACTGATGACATTATACTTCCACTCTTGCAGAAAAGCATATTTTTGGATTGCGAGGCACAAATAGAAAAATTGTTGTCAAATGTTTTTGAGAACTATAAATCCTTGGATGAGAACTGTCCCTCCGGGTTGGCAGATATGTCTGGTCCGATGCAAGAGTCAGCATCACCGGCGCTTTCTCCTGCTGTTCAGGTTTTCAGCCTCCTTCATGATATATTGTCTCCAGAGTCACAAAACGTTATGAAGAATTACCTCGAGGTAAAAAGCATTACTCCATGAGAAATTTTTCACCATCTTCAAATATTCTCTGATTCTTTGATGTCTTTGTCTTGATTGGGGTGGGAGAGTTTCATGATCTTCATAATATTATGGTCCTAATTTTTTTGGAACTGTAACCATCCGCAGACAGCAGTAAAGAAGAGGTGTCGGAAGCATATGGTTGAGACTGATGAATATGTTTCCAGCAACTCTGAAGGTTTTCTCTTGGATTCTATCACGGTCTCCACAGCCTATTTGAAAATGAAAAATCTCTGTCTTAGCTTAAGCAAGGAAATAGTGACCGATATAAAGATCAACAATGAACATGTACTCCCAAGGTAAAGATCTAAAATCGGACAAAAAATTCCTTACGTAATTATTCGATGATATCTTTCTTTTGGTCTTACATTTTCCTCCCTTTCTCTCTTTTCAGCTCAATCGATCTTGCAAACATATCAGCTGCTGTATACAGCACTCAACTATGTAACAGGCTCAGAGCATTTCTTTCAGCAGTGCCACCATCTTGCCCACAGCCTCATGTCAATGAGCTTCTGATATCAGTTTCAGATTTTGAACGGGATCTCGACTCATGGGGCATAAGGTTAGTGAAAAAATGCGGTCTAATAATTTACCCTGTGGAGTCACTAAAAAGATCAAGTGATTACCAACAATCAAAATCTTCTTCTTAACCACTCATTTTGCTTCACTTCAGTCATGTACAGGGTGGTGTAGACTCCAGGAGCTTATTCCACAATTACATAATGGTTTGGATAAACGATATGGAACTTAGGCTTCTTGATCGCTGCAAAGCAGAAAGGGTATGTATACTTAGTTTTTTACGCGTCATCTTTAGACATCCTTAAAACTTGAAGCCTTGAACTATTAGTAACTATGGAACGGCTTCTTCTTTCAGGTTCCTTGGTCTGGTGTAATGACGAATCACTCCACGTCACCATTTGCCGAGGATATGTACGAGAGAATCAAAGATTCCCTTATTGAGTATGAAGTGGTGATTAGCCGATGGCCACAGTACACATTGATCTTGGAAAATGTGAGATGACACCTCTTCTAAGACTTGTATCAATGAACTGATGTTCAATTATTAATCTAATCTTATACGTATAGATACTAACTCGGCTTGATGCTATTTGCAAATTTCTTGTTTTTATCATGAAGACGGCTTCAAATGTGGAGAGAGCGATCGTTAAAGCATTGGAGAAGCAATACAATGAGATATTGACTCCTTTAAAAGACAGCATTCCTAAGAGACTGAATATGCATGTCCAGAAGCTGACAAGAAGGCAGTCTTCAACTCTCTACTGTGTTCCAAGTCAAGTAAGCCGCCACCAACTGTGTTAAAATTAAATTTCCCGTTAGAATGACTGAATCGGTTTTAAAACTTGTCACAGTACACTTTTTAAGATCATTTTTGCAAAAATTTCTTTGTTTTTTTATTGGATGAAGCTGGGAACTTTCCTGAACACCATCAAGAGAATTCTCGATGTTCTACACCACAGAATAGAGGATATCTTAAAACAATGGGCGGCATGTCTCCCCGTTATTGAAGACAAGAAACCTCCCTTTGGTGAGCAAATGAATGTGATCACGGTGATGCTGAAGACCAAATACAAAAACTACCTGCAGGCGGCGGTTGAGAAATTGGTTAGCAATGTAAGCACTCTATCACTGATCATTCCAAATTTCTTGATCTTCCATAATCTTATGGGATATTTACAGAACTAAGACGATTCACACACATATCTGCATATATATGCCGTTTATGTAACGGTATAAGCGAATATATTCTAACGCAGATGCATTCTCATCCGTGAAATGTAACAGTCTAGCTTTGGGTGGTGATTCAGATGGGGATATGAGGTTGCTTATATGTGTTTTTTTCCCTGAATTCTCACATGTATCTGCATATATATGCCGTTTATGTAACGGTATAAGCGAATGTATTCTAACGCAGATGCATTCTCACCAAATGGAAAGTTCTTGTCTCAAATGCTTTCTGACATGTATGTTTTCAGACACAAGCCAACAAAAGCATGCGGCTAAAGAGAATCCTAGAGGAGATGAGAGAAGAAGACAGAGAAGGCGATGTGCGTGAACGTATGCAGATGCTTTGCTCGCAAATTGTTGAATCGATCTCAAACTTGCACGACGTATTCACCAGCCAGATTTTCGTGGCATCTTGCCGCCTTTTCTGGGATAGGATGGGACTGGTAATTAATGTGATGTATGCCATTCATTTTTTTCGTGGAATGGACCGTCGGATACAGATTCTTGAATTCCGTGAGTTCTTCAAGCAGGTTGTTCTGAAGTTTCTCGAGGGCCGGAAAGAAAACCAACTGCGCTACAAAGGATCTTACTTCGCTCTCGGTGTAAGTCTCAGCCTCACTTCTCCTCCTTTCCGGTATCATACGTGAAATTATCGTAATATATATTATATATAGGGTATAACCCGTATTTTCTCTATATATACGTCTTTTTCTTGTGTGACAGATACTGGACGATACGTTCGCATCAGAGATGCAAAGGCTGAAAGGCAATTCACTTCAAGAGAAAGACGTGGAGCCTCCTCGCTCGGTGGTCGAAGCTCGTTCCATTCTTTGCAGAGACACCACCAATTCCGCCCATCATTCTTCCTCCTTCTTCTACGTCTAAAAACACCACATTAATAGTACATATACATATAATATATATTCATTCCATTTGTTCTTTTCCGTATATAATTCACATATACTATGGTTCTGATGTTTCATTTTGCATTACATGATATATATATATATACACAGATTAATCTTACTGAGATCATGAGTCTAAGATTGTTTTAATTATTTACAATGAGTTATAGAAAAAATAAAACTATTGTTGTTATTATGTGTATTCGATAACACAAAATCAATATCATTTATTCTTGTTTACTGATTTGATATTCAAATCTTTCTATAATGGGTCAGTCCAGTCCGAGTCCGCACTGGGTCTGAGGGTTTTGGACTCGGTTCGAATCAGTCCGATTTTTTTCGGGTCTATCGCTAAATTTGTTCTTCTAAATTTTTTTCGAATCTAAGTAGAAACCCACTATTTTTGGATCGGACTGGATCGAATTTCGAGTGTCGAACTAAAATTGACATCCTATGTATATGGTTTTGAACGATATATTTATTAAAACATAATTGTAACTACTATGTAATTTTTATATTTTAAAGATTAAAATCTAAAGTATAATATAAGATGTTTTTTTTCTATATAGCATTTTACTACATTCAATAAGTTATATTATTTACCCACTAGTTTTAATATATAAAACTCAATAGTTGCATGTTATCGTAAGATAATATCTCCATATTATACCTGTTTCATTGTAGCTGTGTAATCAAATCAAATCTAACATAAATGAAAAAGGCTCCATGTTAGGGTTATGGACATTTGGAGATTACGTCCTTCTTGTCCTACTTTCATACATTTGTTTGAAAAAATTATACTCTCGGTTTCAAAATAGTCGTACTTTTATGTTATTTTCCATGTTTCAAAATATTTGTCATTCTACATTTTCAAGACATTTTTTTACAATAATTTCCAATTTTATCTCTATTAAATTCCAACAAATTATTTATGATAATATTGTTTTATCATTAAATAAAAGTTTTAAATAGGAGTATATGTGACTTTTTCTATCTTTTTGTGAAATAATCTAAAACAACAATTATTTTAAAATGGATAGAGTATTTTTTTCCTTAATTAGTTAAAATACAAAACTACCATTCCACTGAATTAAAATCATCATTCTGGTCAAACTTAAAATGAACATTTCAAATTACAATGAAAAGAAAATTTATTAAAAATTTAAAAATATTTCACTTAATTAAATTAACACAACAACAATAACAATCCATGGCAAATAAAACATGATTTTTTTTTATTAAACTAAAACATAGAAAATAATTCAAACATAATTTTTTTTACAACCGACCATTTTTTATTTCAAATGTGAGAATTTGTTTTTCAAAATTACTCTAATTCGTTTTTTTTTTTCAGATTTCAATGAAATAAATGTTTTCCGTAGTAACAAAATATGGAGCCCATTGACATTGAGCCCTAAGAAGGTCGCTTCGTTATTGGGTGTCTTCTATTCTATTTCCCGAGGAAAAGAAAGTGCATTGAATGCGCTTTGCCGTTATCCTCTTCTTCTTCAGCACGATTAGCCTCTCTAGAAGCACCAGCGCTCAGTTCATGTCGTGATTCGGAAACCTCAGTCGAAGGAGGCAGTGACGAACTAGTATCGAGGAATCTATGAAATTCAAGTCGATTCCGGTTAGGTCTTGGCATCGGTCTCGAAATCCTCCGCCACCAGCCGCTCCCCTTCCGGTAATTCGACTTCACTCCGTTTTCTGTTTGGTTTAGTTGAAATCAAGGTCAAAATCAATGTGCAAGACAAGTTACTGTAGTCTTTCTCTCTTTTATATAGTGTAGCTTGTCCGAGTGCCGTGAATCATGTTTCTCTTGGGTCTGTGTGTTTCGATTTAGCTTCAACTCGTGTAATGTTATCTTTTTGACGCTTTTCCGTATGATCAGCGGAACGGAAACTGAAAGGTAATTTCCTTGGGTTGATTTTCGTATAGTTTCTCGTATCCGTTTCTCGTATAGTTTTTTTTCTTCTAAAATTTCAAATGGGTTGATTTTCAGAACGAAAAAAAAATCCCGGACAATTATAAATTTCGTTTCAAAATTTTCTTGCAGAGTTTGAATTTGCAACTCCACAATTCGAACTCCTGTAGCGTCGGTTTTGTAATTGATATATGCATAATGCATGTATGTTATTTTCTCTGTAAAAGTTTCATCCATTTGGTTTCAGCAGAATGAAGCTAATGAAGAATATGGCTCCGAGAGTGATGAGCTTAATGTGTCCTGTGATCCTCACTGTGAAAATGGTGATACTGATGCCGAGGTTGTTCCAGATTCTTTCGAGGACAGAAATGTGCCTCCCAAGAAGCGCTCTTGTTTTGGGACTACCGACACTGGTAATGGTCCCGAGTGGCTGAACTTAGATGCTTGTATCATATGTGGAATCAAGGATGAGTTAGTATGGCCTTGTTCTGGGATTGAGTGCCCTGTTTCGTTTCATGAGAAGTGTATGAATGACGAGCCCGGTAACAAATATGCTTTGAATTCTTATTGCCCTTATTGTTGGTTCAAGATTCAAGTATCGAGATCCAGGGCATTGAGGGAGAAGGCTGTTGCGGCAGAAAAAGCGCTCTTCGAGTATTTGGATAAAGAGATGAATGGCGCAGGTAAGAAGGTGGAGGCTGTCCCGAAAGCTCAAGAGAAGAAGACAGGTTTATCTGATGGCGAAAATGGGAACCAAGAACATTCTGAGGGCTGTACCAACATTGTAAGTGATCAGCACTTACACCTAGAGAATGATATCTATCCATCAAGAGAGGGGGAAACACGAATGGGGAAGGATAGAGGTAAATCAAGAGACAACTACGTGCAATCAAATGTGGATATCGAGCAATCAGTAGATCGGAATGGTCAGTTAAGAGAGGATACGAATCAATCAAGAGGTCAGCATTTGCAGTTAGAGGAGGGAATCAATCAACCAGGTAATCGAGATGTGGAACTGGAAAAATATCAGCAAAAAGGTCTCTACATGGCAGAACGAGATGTATGTGATGTCAACAAAGCAACAGAAGGTAAAGAACAGGTAGAGATGAATGAGGAGAAAGCCAGTGACAGGGTCCAAGCCTCTGAAAGTGAAGAAAGATCAGAGACGGAAAAATTCCAAGATGCCGAGGATGGAAAAGATGAGGAAACAGCTAAAGCTCAACCTAATTCAGATGCAAGAAGAGAGAAAATTGCAGATGGTTCACCGTTTGTGTCTGTCCAAGAATCATTCTCAAGGAATGAATCTGATCAGGCTGAATCGAATACAAGGTGGAACATGAGGCGGAGAAGAAGGATGAAGCTAAATGAATATGACAGTGACATTTCATCGAATGAATCGACCAATGACCGGAATGGACAAGATGTGACCGAGAAGAGCAATGGTTCATTCAAGGCTTCGTCCTCCGGACAAGCCAATTCCCCGATGGGGAAGGCGAAGAACCAAAAGAGAAAATCCACCGCACAGCAGAAGGGGTAGTTGCATAATTCATCATACTCTAAAAACTTGAAAATATTTTTCTGTGTGAAACATAATTTTATATGTCCGTCATCCAAATTGCAGGGGAGCGTCTTTCGTTAAGAATGATAAGAGGAAGAGGCTGTTTTGGAGGCCTGAAGAAGAAGCAATGCTGAGGGTACCCTTCATCGATCTCTTAATCTAATTTTGATATTGATCCATGCATTCTATCATAAAATTTCCGGTTTTCCACCGAACCGAGAGGATTGATTTTTGGAATGGTAAATCCCCAAGGGGTGACCGATGATGAATTGTTTAATTGTGTTTAAAAATAACCAGGTGGGAGTGGAGACATTATCGGGGGAGGTAAACAAGAACATACCGTGGAGGAAAATCCTGGAGATGGGAGCAAAAGTGTTCCACGAGACTCGTACTCCTACCGATCTCAAGGAAAAATGGAGAACAATGAACTCGAAAAAGATACACCATTCTTCTTCAACAAGGCAGCAAAACCAAAAGAAAACAACTTAAGTCACGGATACGGGGATGGGATTCTATTCTAAACCTCAGAATTGCAGAAGAAAATGTCAAAAGAGCTAGTGAGTGAATATGCATACCTTAATAACACAGCTCTCTCCGATGACACTGTCAGTCACGTCGGCATCAAGCATCTTAGACGGAGGCAAGTAACGCGGCTGCGTGTATATCGGAGCCGAACGGTCATAGAAGCTGCGCCAAGGATTCAATATCATCATCCGCTTTGCAATCTCTACACGTGGCTGATGGATGGTACGATATCACAAATGGCTTGGCTACACATTTTTTTAGAAAAAAAAAAAAGATTTACCACCTGAAATCAGGAAATGGCTTTTTAGTTGTTCCGAGATTTGCGTTGCAAAACGCCTCTATATTACCAATGTCTTCCCAGTAGCCATCGTATAGGTAAGCTTGCACCTGCGCACACACGCGACAAAGGTTGTCCTTGAGCAAAACACAAAACCACGTTGTACGGATTAGATGAATGTCTACATTCACTGCAACTGAGGAGTAACTCGAAAGATATAGACATCTATATCCGTATAATTGATAGGGAAGCAACGAAATTGGATCGCGATCGTTCGAACGGTGAACTCTGGGCACAAACATAGAGAACACAGACAAACTCAAGCAAACACGAATTTGAGCGATATCTCGAGGCATAGATAAAAAAAAAAAGAAACGGCTTGGATAATATGTAATTATTTTTTTAGAAATCACCATAAGAACAAAAAATAATTTTTCCCGAAAATAAGATATTAGGTCGAATTACGTCAATAGTGAGTTCCTTAAATGTCATTTGATTAAACTCCAACATGAATATCGTGTAGGTTTTTTGAATCACAAAAAAATATTGTTTTACTGCTTTTTAAAAAATATATTATTTTACTAATTGAAATTATATTATGGATCACCTCAACAAAATCCAAGAATGTCTTGGGCCCATAATTTCTTAGAATTTGGGTAGCGGACCAGCGGTAGTCTGATTCCCAGAGGTGGCCATTTCGGTTACTAACCGAATAACCGAGCCGAACCGAACCGAATAAGTCATAACCGTATCCGATCCGAACCCGACATCAAAACCGAACGGTTATGATTTACTTAAACCCGAAAAATCGAAACCAAAACCGAACCAAACCGAATAAAAAATAACCGAAAAAACCGAGAGAATAACCAATATTTTCTTTGGAAAATTGAACTTTTTACCAAAACCGAACCGAACCGAACCGGAATTTATATAAAAACCGAATGGTTATAGTTTTTCTATAACCGAAATAACCGAACCCGAATATAACCGAACCGAACCCGAACCGAAACCCGAATTGGCCACCCCTACTGGCCACCCCTACTGATTCCGATTGGCATCAAATCCGGGTCGGGTCGGGTCGGGGCCCGTTAAGACGCATCCTGGTTATATTACAACCCGGTTCGAGGGCTTACAAGAAAACAAGGGTTTTCTTTTTCTGTGGGGTTTTGTGCTTCACTACGTCGTCTGCTTCTCTCGTCCCCATTCGAAGATGAAGCTCGTCAGGTATCTTTTCGTTGAATTTCAAATGATTTGATCATTCGATCCATCTGGTATTGGGAAATCTGCGTCATTTTTTATCTGGGTTAATCGGATTTTTATTTTGGTTTTGATGGTTTAGGTTTTTGATGAAGCTGAACAACGAAACTGTGTCAATCGAGCTGAAGAACGGAACCGTAGTTCATGGCACTATCACTGGTATTATATCATATTCTTTTTTTTTTATTCGTAGTTATGAGTTTCTTCTCTATTGGATTAGTTTGATTTCTGGGTCTAATGGTGAAATGGCAGAGCTCCATATCAAAACTTGTCGATAAAATGTAGATTCGATTGGTTCTTATAGACACCTGAAGATCGCCGCATTCTGGTCCCTTTGCGTTTCACCTGGTCGATTGTTCAGATCATGAGCATTTCGTAACAGATTATGCATATGCTCCGATCCCATCGCAGTCCCCGTTTTTATTGATAGAACTTTATAGGTTCATTTGGGTTTTTTTTTATGGGGATTAATTTAGTTTAGCCGAGAAATTTGAAGTGATTAGTTGATTAAGATTCCACAAACACCATGTCTCCATGATGCGATCTAATTCGCTGACTGAATTCATCTATTTCCATGTGACATATCATATTTGGTCCTCCTCTAGCTTTCAGGGATCAAGTAAACATATGGGCAATCCAAAAAAGTAATGTCTCGCTGTTCTGTGCAGGTGTGGATGTGAGCATGAACACTCACTTAAAGACTGTAAAACTGACTCTGAAGGGGAAAAACCCAGTTACGCTTGATCATCTAAGCGTTAGGGGTAACAATATCCGCTACTATATTCTTCCCGATAGCTTGAATCTGGAAACTTTACTTGTGGAGGACACACCCCGGATTAAGCCCAAGAAAGCTGCTGCTGGTATCCTTATGCTGTTTCGCTTATGTTGTGTGATTGGATAAAATTATGCGTCACCTTTCTTGTTGATTTATTTTCTATCCATGCTTTTCTAGGGAAACCTGTTGGACGTGGCAGGGGACGAGGACGTGGGCGTGGGCGTGGGCGTGGCAGAGGTCGTTAGATGTGTTCTTTGTATGAAACCTGTTGGATATGACAGGGGATGGCGACATGGACTTGTGCATTTGCCCTTGTTGGCTACAATCCAGGAGCAGTGCACTGAGTAAAGCTGAGGTCAGTGAGTTAAATTTGTAGGAAGATGAACTTGTGCTTTCAATCAATTTGTAGTAGATTTATTATGTTATACATATAGGATCTCTTGGAAGGAGAACTTTTGTTTAATCAAGTGTTACGAAAATGCTTGTGACTTGTGAGTATGTTACTTTAATGTGAATCCCTCCCACGAACACGAAGACTTAACTTTCACATATAGTAGTATGATAGATTAAGCTCAAAGCTTTATCCATGGGATGAATATGGTTGAATGCAATGCATGTACACATGAATTCTTGAAATAGAAAACATTCTTGGTCGTAGTTACAAACACTTTGTATGATATTCCACTGCAACCTGTTTCACATGATCGTGCAAGGGGGTTCGTGGTTGTAAACAGGTTCCCCGATGAGTAACTGGTTGGGATTGCACTGGTAGGGATAGGGATAGCAAGGCACGCCATATCCATGAGGCCATGGACAGCAAGGTGCGGGCTTTTTCTCCTCGTTCTTCTTTTCTTCTTGCTTCTTCTCGCCCTCTTTTTTATCGCCCTCCTTTTTATCGCCGTCCTTTTTCTCATCTGGTTTCTTTGGGGGTTCGACTTTGCTTACGCTTACTAGCTCTGCAAATGCTACCTGTTTCCTCAGTTTTCTCGTTAGGGCGATCATATCCACTTCATCCCCAGTGACCTCTATCTGGTTCCTGTGATCCCCCTTGATTTCTACTGCCGTCACGCCTATACGATCATATGTACATAAGCATATATATATATATATCCCCGTCAGTTCCACTGACACAGAATGTTTGAAGCATCAGTTTCTCAAGGTTCTGTCTGAGAAATTTTACCTGTAAACTGAACTGCTTTGTTCATTGCTCTTGCTCGGGTTTTATCATCTGTCATGCTCACTCTTATCAGAATCTTTTGCTGCATACAAAGTAACATACCTTAAAATATCACACACACACATATATATATATATATATATGTATATCACACACACACACACAATCTTCTTATTGATTGAGTGTATATATATACCTTCATGTTCTTGTTTCCTTGGAGAGATGATTTTGGTGGGAATTGCTTTGTGTAGCACGCAATGCCTTACAAGTATTTTGATGGATGGTTTGATGTTCTCTCTTCTTTGGCCTCTTTGTTTGTTCCTTGAGTCATATATTCATTCATACCCCAAAGGAATCGGACAGTTTAAATTTCGTTTTCAAGTCTTCTCTTTGTATTTTATTTAGTGTTGGTGCTACTTGCAAATACAATTGTCAATTAATAATACAAATTTAAATTGCAATAACTCGTATTTTATATTAGTATTGATGGGGTCAAAATTTTGAGTGCCAAAAAAGGGCCATAATCAAATGAATTCCTAATGATTTTAAGATAAGCTTTTGGTTTTATTTTTTATTTATACCTTGTGATTATATTTTCCTAATTTCGGCGTGCCCATAGGAAATGATATTTTCCGTTATACTTTCAACAGAAAAGATGTTTTTGTGTCGACTTATTTTTTCCTCTATCTTCATTCTTCACCAAACTTTATAAATAAATAAAATTAAATGTTGACTTCTAATTTGTCCCCCTGATGTGTTATACAATTATTATAAACTTGACTTGATTTTGTAGTCATCTTATTCGTATGACGCAATTAGCATTTTAAAATTTTATAACGAAAAAAAAAAGACCGCCACCAAATTTGAACAACCAAAGATACATTGACAAATTAATTAGTAGTTGTTTCTATATATTTATAAAAGATAAGATTTATTTGAATGCATAGACAATTGATGCTGTAAAATTTTAATTAAATTAAATATACTTGTAAGTCGTGAATTTTTAAAAGAATTTCCTAAACAAACAATTGGAAAAAAGTCTTGAAATCTTTAGAGTAAACGAAGTTAAAACTACCAAATCGTGGTTTAGTGACATTGTTCCAAAAAAAAATAATAATAATGAAGACGTAGGACGCAAGTCAAGTCTTTGATTAAAGACATTTTATCTTTGTTCTAAATTGTATCGTTAGACCATAGACTTGTTAGTTGTACCACATTTATTTAACAATTCTTAAACCGGAATTAACCGGATCCTTTACCAACTATTTCCTACTACAGGTTCTGTCATAGAGCACCGGTGGATATAGTTGCTATTTTTATATAATTTTCATATCATATGTTATAATTATGTTGTGTCTGCGTGTAACTCTGTTTTTTATTTCGATATTAAATTTTGACGAACTTCAGGATGGATCACTATAGATCATTAGTAATTATATTTTTGGGGGTTTTTTTTTTCAAACTTTTCAGTATATTCATTGAGTTTTTCAATTTAAATTTTGTTAAAAAAATTAAAAAATAATTTTTATTTTTTATTATTATCAAATATCAGGCGAATTCAATAAATTTAATTAAAAATGTATATTTAATCTGTTTTTAAAATTACGATTATATGTATATATTATTCGATTTGATTCTATTTTATTCTGTAAGTCCGAACTATACCGGATGTAATACGGCGTAATATAACAACTCTTTTACTAACCATTTTCACTGTGTTTTATTTCAAAATAACAAAATTCATTAGAAAATCATATCCAAGGGCTAATTACAATAATGATTAGAAATCTTACCAATCAACATCAAAATGTTACATATCATAAAGTCGGTAAGAAAAACGCACACATCAATGTTATTACAAAGCCATTTATAAATTACTCACAAAAAAAAAATCCATACTTTTAAAAGAAGAAGAGATGTTGGTCCATACACAAACACTTATATAACAAGAATGTTCTTTATGTTTGCAATGTCCTTAATTCATTTGGATTTGTACTGATAACGTCTTCCCATTCCAAAACACGATTGAGGTTTAAAAACACATATTTTTTAAAAAATTATTTTTTATTATATTATTAGCGAGTTCAATCAATTTAATTAAAAAAATATATATATTTAATTGGTTTTTAAAAATACGATTATATATTATTCAATTTGATTCTATTTTTTTTTTCTGCAAGTCCGAACAATAGTGTATATGACAACTCATAGATTTGAATGGACTTTTTATGTACGGTACATGTGAGACACGTAATCTACACATTAATCGTTTATGCCAACTATATTCATCCATAAAAAAAGATATATAATAATTGATAATTAAATAAAAAGCTAGTTTCAAGTGGAAGCTTAGTCGTTGCTTGTACTCGGTCGATGTGGACACAGTCAAACCTTCGTTTCGTTATTGAATTTTGCATACATGTTCTAAATTTTGTACATCCATATGCAAATTAGTGCAAATTATCATTATTATAAAATTCGAAACGGAATCAAGAATTCAAATCTCCACGTCAGCACAAAGATCGAGAACGCTGCCCATGGCGGTGCGGTCAGAGACAGAACCCATCCAGAAAATTAATTTTCATCCTAATTTTAATTATTATATATATTTGTGGTACACATTGAATTTTACCGAGAAAATATTAATTTCATTCCTCGTTGAACACTCTAACGAGTATCTGTTCTGTTCGTGCATGTGCAGTTCCATGTTCATTTATTTTTGTGTATATGTATCCTTGGAACTTGTATTTGTTAAATAAATAAACGTGGAACGTACTTTACAACAAAAAATGTTATAGGCTTTAATCAAATCCGAATATATATATATATATATATATATATATATATATATATAAAACCTATAAAATATGCACCAATATTCAAAACAATTTTACATTCAATCTTCTTAACCAAACAGAATGTATAATCATATTGAACACATCATATCTCTTTGGAGGATCATTCACCAAGAAATGCCTTTGCACGTTCTTCACTCCCTCGTATAACCTCCTATACCGGTCTTCCGGTATACCCAACAATATCCTCTTCAGTTCCGGTATTTCCTTAACCGATACCCATACCGAAAACTTATCCCATTCCAATACATCACTAAACGGTAAAACATAGTATTCCGAGATCAAAACCGGTACACAACCAGCGTAAATTGCCTCCGGTATTCTTGGACTGGCCACCTCGTGCCCGCTCGGGCAAATGCAAAACCGGCTTTTTCTCATCATACCGGTATAATCTAACTCGTCCGGTAGATTCTCGTAAACCAGAATGTCTCTGTCCTTCTCTTTCCAATGGTTTAGAAGAACCGGTCGGATTTTTCCGTGCAATTTCCCGGCAAAAAAGGCAAGGGTTGTCCTGTTAACCGGATCTAACCCCCCAGTTAAGTCGGTTATCTCGCCAGTTACAAGATTGATTTCAGGAAACGGTGCGTCTTTCACCGGATTGAAATATTCCGACATGTTGGCATTGCACAGTACTCTTATGGAATTGAAGAACAGCTTCTTAACGTACCATGATGCTCTGTGACCCTGTAACCACGAAGTTCAGATACCTTAACCGGATGCAATATTAACCAAAACCAGACCCGGTTTAGCTTCTGGTTCACAACTGAACACCAAAACACACAAGAAGGAACCGATTTTTTTTTTCAGACAAGAACCATACTTACCCAGTCATGGCAAGACAACATGAAGTGATCGAACCCATCGCTCGTGTTCCAGTAGGGATATTTGGTCGAAACGACCCGTATGTAATCGACGATGACTCGTTCCAAAACACCCTTATCACGAAAAACCGGATCGAAGAGATGCTGAAGGATCATGACGACACTGAAAGGCAAGAAATAGACGTGAGCTTCATCAGGATCTAGGGTTCTGTACCTAACGACGTCGTTTTCCATGAAGTTGAGGAACAATCCTTCCATGGAGTATATGTTCTTGCAGAGACCGTAGTGAAACATCGGTGGCTCGCCTTCTTCGTACACGTATATCTTGAAGAGTTTCTCCATAAGAAGGTAACTTCTGAGACAAGTAAGCAAGTAGAAAACAGGTTTAGTCCTTGTTGTCATTGTTGCTAATCAGACAAAAAGGTTAAGGTTAACTGTTTTACCGGTGAAAGGCATAAGGGTTTCTGTAGATTTCGCCATGAGGAACGTAATCTTTGTCCATAAGTGGTGATGAAGAATTAGGGTTTGATAGAGCTTCTCTGATCAATGCTCTTGCACTTGCAAGCTGCTTTTCCACCTTTACAACTCTCTTCCATCCCGGGTCGGTACCCAAACCCGAACCCCAATCTTGATTCGGGTGTGACCCGTTTCTCCTCTACACAAGGAAGACATATTCAGTAACCACATGCAATCAGATCTGGTTGTTCTCAACAGAGATTATGAGAAATTAAAGCAAATGGCAAAAGAAGTGATTAAACGGGAAAGAAAATGAAAACACATACCGTAACGAGCGTTGAAGAAGAAAGAGTGGAGAAGCCAGAGATCCATAGTCTAGGGGATGTGGAGAGGTAGAGAAGGGAAGATCTGTTGGAGCCTTTGGCTATGAAAATGGCTGAGATTACTGCAAATGTTGCCAATGTTAAGAGCACTGCGTTCAAGTGTTTGGTAATGTGCTCTTTCATTGCTTTTGTGTTCTTCCTATTGCACTCCATATGTCTCTTTTCAGACAGAGAGAGAGAGAGAGGGATGCTGAAACAATGGAGGTTTTGAGGATCTAGAAAGAGCTAAATTAAGAGACCCTCTGTCTGTTGCAGAGGTTTCGAGCCGCTGAAACCGTTCCGACAGGACCAAAACCAAGACTGTTTTGTGATTTCATTTTTTCCCCTCGTAAACAAATTGTTTGTGAGAATCCTAAAAATGGGTAATTTCAAATTGCAAATTACAAGATACGTGTGTCAAATATAGACTCCTTATTTTTGGATGTACCTTCCCTCGTCTTCCTCGTCTTCCCCCTCATCATCATCTTCTCTCTCTCTCTCTCTCTCTCTCTTCTCTCTGAAAGCTCGAAATTCTCAACCAGTTTGTATTAAAAAAAGTTTAAACCTTTTGCCCATTGAACAATCAAGAAGGTATATCACCAAACCCTTTTGCCCTATTGGCACAAATCTCCATCTGATCTCCACATCACTTTGGGTGAAACCCCTCTCCAAGATAAGCATTAGGTATATATATATATATATGCTTATCGATCGGTTTCAAAGATGCTATCTTTTCGAATCCCGTCACTGGGGAGCCACCATCATCCATCAACGTTCGCCGAGAAAGTCACAGACGATCCAAAGGCCGCCTTCCATCTCAAGACAGCCGCCGCCGCCGCCGCCGCCTCTCAGAGCACCGTCACGTGCGGATACCAGGCCCACATAGCGGGCTACTTCCGAAACGTCACCGTTTTGTGGTCCAAGAACGTCATGCACCACTCCCTCACCCTCATGGTCTCGAGCCTCGACAACGACATGAACTACTGTTGCAAGATCGATCTCGTGAAGCCATGGCAGTTCTGGAGCAAGAAAGGGTCGAAGTCGTTCACCGTCGAGGGAAACCTCGTCGAGATCTTCTGGGATCTCCGGTCCGCGAAGCTCTCAGGCAACGGATGCCCTGAACCGGTTTCCGATTATTATATCGCCGTTGTCTCCGATGAAGAGGTTGTCTTGTTGTTGGGAGATCTCAAGAAGAAAGCGTACAAGAGAACGAAGTCGAGACCCGCATTGGTTGATCCCTTCATGTGCTACAAAAAGGAAAGCGTGTTCAGCAAGAAAACGTTTTCGACACGGGCCAGTTTCGACGAGAGGAGGAAAGAGCACGAGGTGGTGGTCGAGAGCAGTTGCAGTGGCGGCGGAGACGGAGATGACGGGGGCGACGAGGCGGCGGAGATGTGGATAAGAGTGGACGGAGTCGTGGTCGTGCACGTGAGGAATCTCCAGTGGAAATTCCGCGGGAATCAGACAGTGTTGGTCGACAAAACTGCCGTTCAAGTGTACTATGATGTCCATGATTGGCTGTTTGGGAGTCAGGGGATGGCGGCGAACGGGCTTTTCGTGTTCAAGCCGGTGACGGTGGCTATTGCAGCCGTTGCGGCC